GCACACGTGATGAATCACACAGGCTGCGAGAGCAGACGCACATGATGTGACCCATCGCTGACTCACGGAGCCGAAATTAGACGTCGTTTCCATGGACACAGTCATTGTCATCGTTCGGTAAGTCACAGGCTAAAATTCTGACAGGTTTCGGCAAGCGAACTGCTCGATTGATCGCGTTTTCCAGGTTCTGGAAATCTTCACATAAAAATCTAATATTCTGTTCATAAAATAGATCGAGAGTAGATATTTTTTTACTCTACATGGAATCGAAGGTTCTGACATTGACAATAACTATGATATAAGATAGTGTAATTGCGTCATATTGTGAATATTATAACAATTATTTATTTTAATCCGTCTGATCACAATATTTAAAATTTCTTATAATTAAGATAATAAAATATCATTGATGTTCCATATCGATTGATCGATTTACATTTCGGAACATTTACACAACATGTTTCGGTTTTTATAAAACCCGTAATGAAACATCACCAAAAAACTACAGAAATCATAATTGAGTTTTAAGTTCTTAGATATATTTTACACCTGATGATGGTTTTATAAAAACCGAAACATGTTGTGTAAATGTTCCGAAATGTAAATCGATCAATCGATATGGAACATCAATGATATTTTATTATCTTAATTATAAGAAATTTCAAATATTGTGATTAGACGGATTAAAATAAATAATAACTATGTTGTTAACGAACTCCATGGAACGTAGTCCTTCTTGAGAAGCTGACAGTTGCTCAGCTAATCAAGAATACAGTCCGTGTTTTGGAAATCTTGAGGCTTTTGGAAGTGATCTGTTGCATTTAATTTTGATAACGAAATGTGTGGCTGTTTTTTTGTTCGGAAAATCAATGATTATTTGTGGCTGGAAGTTGTGTCTAGTTGGCCGGCTGATCCATCAGAGTGCAAATTATTTTTGGTTCACATTCACGCGTCTGACAAACTTAAAGCACACGCGTACAGTCCGTCAACATTCAGACTTGAGTCAAAAATGCAAAACCGATCGTCAAAAGTTCCCTCTGGCTTGTTAATATACGTCAGTAAAACAACGATGAAGGAATTTAAAGTAATTTGTTGTTCTCGTGTCCGTCTGTCATGTCCCGCTGGACCATTTGTAAAATACGTGCTTCTACCTGAGGAAAATGTAATACCTCTACTACTGAAAGCCGCTTAGTACATCCACTGTTCTTGTTTGATAAAACTCGTCGGTGTTTGGCTAATCGATACTAAGGTCGTTTGGAACTGTAGAGAGATACCAATGTTTTGGAGTAAAATAACGCCTCCATCTTCATGGCTGAAGATTTTTATTTGATTCTGGAATGGAACTCGGCTTCAGGGGGAAGATGCAGCCAGCTTCGCGATGCTGAAGAACTTCGTTTCGTATGTGAGTCGCACGTTACTCCTGGTTGAGACGATAAGAAACTCCCTTCATCTGTATTTCAGACCAAGTATTTCTTCCGACTTCCTTTGTCGATTATCATCTCCGAGAGGTCGGGCGCCATTGTCTGTCAAACAGCCTTGGGATTCACAGGTGCTGTGAGACAGTTCCTCCGGTCAAAGAATTTAACTGTGGTAACTGTATCTACCACCTATTTAACATTCAGTAATTCTGCATTTCCCCCAAAGAGTATATTTATGTGTTTCATATGATTCTCACTGTAACGAGCGATTTTTTCCTTAAACAGCGTTAACCAGTTGATCGTTGTAATGGTGAAGAGTTGTGTTTTCTTCACGGTACGGACTGGATTCTTAAATGCGGGTTTAGAACCGCTGCTGTGCATGATGCAGGGTCTTTCTTGATCAATCGATTCTCACAAAATCGAAGTTTGTGAAGTTTCTAAAATATCTGATAGGCTTATTGTAGTTCCGCGATTTGTAGACCCCAGGCCCCACCTCTGTGTGACGTAACAAGCCTGAACGTGGGCGGAAGAATGGAGCGCTGATGTCAAAACTTAAAATTAAATTAGATTTGGTAATTTGAGCATCAGACTGAGAAATGTGCATTCGAGAGCTCGAATGTTCGTAGAAGAGCCACAAATATCGATACAGAGTCTCAAAGCAATTGGTATCGCGCGGCGTCGGCCAAAGTTAAGGGCAGCCCCGGGGGATTATCAAATCGCGACAGGACTATAGATATGTGAGTGTGTGTGTGTGATTCTAGTAGACTGTTGATAGCAGAGATGTCTGTTTGTTGCAGGTAACTGGGGACACCACAGACAAGGCTCATGCCAGGCTGGTCTTGGAGCTTCCATTTCCAAGGTAACACAATTCAACATTGTTAAAAATCCTTATGCACGCCACGTAACTCTTAAGGAGAAGTTGATAAAGAAATTCTTTGTCTTCTATGAAACCTTCATACAAACATCAAATCTCATTTTAGTTTATTTGTTTGTTGGTCAGTCGGTTGATAAGTTAGCATTTGCCAAATTTTTAACGCCATTTTACACGGTTAACGTTTAAATCTAAAAAAAAAAAAATTCCTTTATCAAGGCCTATGAAAGGCGCGTGTTAGTATGAAACATGGCGAATTGCGGATAAATTTGTTAACCCCTTAGATTTTGGTTCACTGAAAGTAAGGCTTCAGACAGCCTCGTTGTGGAATGGTTATTTAGATGAATCTGTATGTGGTATGGGACTATTTTTCATGTCGTAATGGGTCAGAACTGAAATATGTGTTATGAATGTTCTACATTAATGCAGCCCTTATGGGCAGACCACACAAACGGCAACCATTTTAAATCCTCCGGGCACGCTTTGCAAATCTCTCACATCTGACATTCGCTCTTAACAGCTGAAGGGTTCTGTGTGAGAAGGGCGTATCTCCATTTTTTTTTTAAAAAAAGCTACGTGAAACATGTTATAATAGTAATTTCTGAAAACTGTGTCGAACTGCGTTTAAATATAACGGGATTCATGTTACTTTTGTACCCAAATCTGCTGTGGTTGTCTGTTTAGTCAAAATAACAATAGAAATTAGTTTTTGCATTTTCTGATCTACACCCTCGTAGTTCTCAGAGCGGACAGCACAGTAGAAACATTACTTATATCCTGCGCTTGAAATTAGATGTAAATACAGCTGCATTATACGTCTCCTGTCGCTTACAATTATTTAAATCTGTGAGAGACGCATTAGAAAACAATGCGCTCTGAGTACTCGTTCTTATATGTTCTTTTAGTGTCCAGATGTTTAGAATTGATTCGGTTTTAATCCGAATCTCTAAAGAATGGTCCGGCAGTGTTGCTAAATTACAATGCCTCTGAATGATTGTTGATTTATTCTTCTGCTCTCCATCATGGAATCCGTGGTTAGCATTCCCCGCTTCGGTGTTCTGTTGTGTAATGCAAACGGCGCGCTGCATCCGTTCCTCCGTGTCTCCGCCATTTCATTCATTTTAGTCGTCCAAGTTTCGATCCAGAGAGAAAGGAAAGTTACGTGAAACAGGAGTGTCCAGTTTCGAGTCCAGTACCACATTGACCCTTTAAAGTTCAGTGGTAACTATATTGACCGGTGCTCTAACGATGAGTAACTCAACATGTTGCCCACAGAGTGCATTTATGTGTTTTATACGTTATCAGAACAAACAGCGATCATTTTCTTAAACAGCGATCATTTTCTTAAACAGCGTTAACCAGTTGATCTGTGTAATGGTGAAGAGTTGTGTTTTCTTCGCGGTACGGACTGAATTCTTAAATATTATTTACACGAGCATTAGCTTCCAAAGGCGAAAAGTCCCACTGTAACTGAATGACAACAACCGACCGAGATTATGTTGATTATGACGCACGGTACATCAGATTCTAGGGCCGTGTGTCATCTCTAGAATGTATGATCCAGTGGACATGTATAACCGAATTTAAATTTCGAATTGGGCCTGCGCTCCATTGGCGTGACATCCAGACTTTGAAGCTGGTTATATTTCTTTTCTGTCTGGCGGCTTGCGTGGCAGCTGCATTGCGCAGTGTCTGTCTGTCTGCCAGTCCTGAAATGAATGGGTTCTCTTGCAGAGCAGAAGCGAGTTCATTGTTAATTCATTGTTATTCAAACACAGGTACAACGCAGGGGGTTAGGAAACAGATATTACAGAAGACAATGGCGCCCAGTTTGTTGTGACAGCGGCCAGCCCTTCCCGGGGCGGCTATTTCTCTGATTTATTAAGAAAATCAAGAAAATTTAAGAATACGTCGTAAAACGAAGCAAAAGTGAATTTGAAATTTGGCGGCGAAACCTGGGAATTTAACCCTCTGAAGCCGAAGAGAGAGAGAGAGAAGAGAGAAAGTGGGGGGAGTAGCGATAGGCACTACTGTTATAAATGGGGGAGGGGTATAAAGTTGGTTGTGGGCTACGAAGGTTCCCAGGCAGTGCCCGCTCGTCCTTCTGGTATGAATAAGTTTAGTGAGGACAAGGGATTTAGGAGACAGGATGGGGTAAGAAATAGGGTAGGGGGAGTTGATTCGGGTCTTTGCGTTAATTTTGAATTTTGATATTGGCCTTGGGGGTGGCGTTAGGAATAATTTACGTTAATTTTGGAGGGGCTACTATAGAGCGGAATTTTGATATTACTCTGAGAGGGCTGCATGGGAGGCATGCCGAAGCTCATCTAAATAGCGTATAAGAATCCAGTCCGTACCGCGAAGAAAACACGACACTTCGCCATTACAAAGATCAACTGCTTGACGCTGATTAAGGAAATAATCGATGTTTACTCTGAGAATCATAGAAACGTGAACACGCAACGGAGCGTAATACCGAAGGGTTCACGATAATCAGGTTCTCAAGGCGGCTATTATGAGGTTGACGACGGCCTTCCGGGATATTGCCCGTCTCGTAGAAGTTTACCGACGTTTCAGAGGCGATTCCCCCTCGGAGTATAAAGTTTGCTAACTCCGGAGCTGCTGCCTGAGGAGTGACGCGAGAAACACGCGGAATCAAACATGTCCTGGACTGTGTGCAGTGCTGAGTGTCGCTGCTCGAGCTCTACTTGGTTGCGGCAGCGAGCGTACAGTCATCGCATTTGGTACATGTTCAGGTTATGTAATATGCATGTAACGCGGCGTCTGTATCCGTGGCTCAGTGGGCAATTCCGCCTCGTCCCGTACACGCACTTGTCTCCTCGAGAAGTGGGGGAAATACTTTTGAAACAATAACGGCTGAAACAAAAAGAAGTCGGCACAGCGAGGGATCGCGTCTGGACAGGACTCGGATGCCGTAATTCAATTGTTGTCGCGGTCCACAGCATACTAACTGTAAGAATGTGCGTTCTGGAGGAACTCGGTGCTGTTGTCAGGTGAGTTGGCTACGTGTCGGAGCAGTGCCTGAGACACGGAGCTCAAGTGCGTGGTACAAGTTCGGTTCGTACCTCAGTTGATTAACGCTTGAAGATGGCTGACTTCTGCCTTGCGGTCTGGCAAAAGTTTACTGACGTTTCAGAGGTTATTGTTGCCTCCATCAACGGGGCCATCACCTCTGAAACGTCGGTCGGACATGTAATACCGCCGTGAGGACCTGAAATCTCAAAACGCTGTTTAATAAACAAATGAAAAATTAAATATGGCGTGTAATAATTAAGATGCGATCGAAAGTATTCTGTCAGAAGACAGCCTTGAACTATAAGTGTCAAGATTATTTTTAAAGAAGTTAGATTCTTAAGTGAAATATAAAATATTTAAATATGGCTACACTGAGGTTTTTGTGCGTGATAAGTTGCCATATCGAGTTAAATTCCCTGCTTAACTCAAGAGGTTGAGTGGTTTCAGATACGTTAAAAGGGGTTCTTGGTGCCTGAAAGATTTATGACGTATGTGAAGATATTCCACTCGACCTAACCTAACCACACCAGATAGCACAGCGACAGACATTCAAGTGTCGCCAAAACACTCTGTTGGTCAGCAGGTAGGGGGGACTCCCCACTCGTAAACGTGGCGTTGAGTCTGGCGCAGATATATGAATCGACAATGACGTGTCTTCAAGAACCTGATAATGTCCACACTTTATATTCTGCTTATTTTATTGTGTGTCCTTTCGAAGCACCAAGCGCGTCTACATAATAGTTTGCCACGGTGGTCTAGCGGTTAGAACGCTGGCCTTGTAATCCTGGGGTCTCGGGTTCGATTCCCGGCGGTGCCCGAATTTATAACTTGTGTTGGGCATGGCCGTGGTCTAGGCAACACGGAGTTTTCCTCCGGGGACTTCCTCGGTTTCTCCGTGGCATCCCAACAATTACTCCATTCACACACAGAAGAAGGCAATGGCAAACCACTTCTGGATCATCTGCCAAGAACGTATATGAACAGGTCCCAGTCCGAGAAAAGGATGGAAGGATCTTGTTCATTAGGACCTGTCGTCAGACAGAACACTAAATAAATAAGTGGAATAATAACAATGACAACCAGTGAACCAAACAATGAAGTAAACTCTTTCTGAAACATACCCCAAACAATGGGCAACGACCACCGTTATATTGTTATGACGAATCAACAGTTGTCACAGATCATGATTTGTACTCAAGATGATCAAATGAAGTAGGATGAGATGGGCTGTGCATGTAAGGCGCATGGGGGAAATGAGAATTGTGCACAACATTTTATTTGGAAAACCTGAACGGAAGACCTAGGCGTAGGTGGGTGGGTGGTGTCAAAATGGATCTTACGGAAACAGGGTGTGGAATGGATTCATCTGGCGAAGGATAGGGACAGCTGTGCGGGCTCTTGTATAGATAGTGATGTACCTTCTGGTTCCATAAAGAAAGTGGAGGTAATTTATTCGATAGATGAGCGACCATCATCTTCTCAATATGGACGCCGATCCATTGGAATATTTAGGGAATCTGCAGTGGCATTTATTCAGTTTCAAAGAAAATGTCTCTGTTCGTGCGTTCGTTTCCGAAGTGTGGACGACGAACACACTGCCTGTCGATTTGATGTGAATTTCTCCTCCTTCCTTCACGTCTCACCCCCTCCCCTCGGTACACTTTATTTTTTCTGTGCCTCCTTATCTTAAAACCAGCGACCCTTAAGTTCTGAGAGGGCTTATCTGCGTTCAGAGAGCAAAATGTAGTGGTTTGATCGGCTGTCAGGTATGAGAACTGAAAGTTATGGGCGTCCTACTTGACTGTACGTTATTTTTTATTTGCCACAGTCTTGCCAGAAGAATTGTGTACTTAAAAATTACCCCTTGGTCATCAGGGAAAATGTCGTATTAAATAGAATTAATGAACTCGTAAAACTGTATGGAGTCTGTCATAAGTTACTAAAGCTCAGAAAATGAGCCATATTTTCCCAGATTGGTTACTGACAGCCTTTGGAGACCGCATATGTCATTTTCGATTAATGAAATCTTAATTTTGTTTTGTTGGCAGGATGGGCATAGACTGTATGTAGGGGCTGTAGGCAGTTGGTACTGGCAAGGTGAGTATTCATCCATCCTCAGAATAAACAAGCCAAATGTGGCAAAATATAAACTCAAAATTTAACTTTGTACAAGTAATGTGATTGAAATATAAAATTCTGTGAGAGCCATAATCTGTTCTTCATGCTGGGTACACCACAGGTAATAAATGACTTATTATTTTGGCAGCCCTGTAAATTCTAATGCTTTTATTTCCTTGTGAGATCAAAGTCATGGAGTAGGTTTTTAAAAAGTTTGTTACTTGATTTCAAATAATTGTATTGTTTTGTCATGTATTGATTCCACCAGAGAAATCTCTGTTGTGCACATTTGTGCTCCTGTGTATGCACTGACACACACAGTCACTCTATTCTAGTACTTATTATTGTCTGAGATGCAGTGAAGTATAAAAGTAAGCAAACAAAACTTAAAAATATGCAAGTGCTATTCTCAGAACAAAAGAACATGAATTAAAGCACAGAAATAGACACAAATTTCAAAGACCAGTTTCATAGATGGAGACAGTTTGTTATTCTGAAACAATGGTATCTCCTACAAGTTTTCATGGTGTCACAACCCAGGAAAAGAGCATTGTCAAGTGAAATATTGATTTATTGTGATTGATGGTAATTGTTTTGAATGCGCTAGAACTTCAGATGGCTGCTTTTCTTATGTTGGACATTTGTCCTTTAGACATATTTTATTCTCCTGCATTGTATTACCATACATATTGTTTGTAGTTGCTGTGATTTAATTTACATTAATGCAGAGTTTCTAACTGGTCTTTATTACATAAAGTATACCATATTACAGTAATATATTACAAGACTGCAGAGTTTCTTGTGGGCTTAGTGATAGAGTGAACTATGTAAGTCACACCATGAAGTAAAATTCCTGTTGATTACAGGTTATAATTTTTATCTTTCATGTATCAATTTTTATCTTTTAGTTGGTGTTTAAATATTTTTCTATCCACACTAAGTTTACTTGGCATCTCATTTTCTAAATAGTGATTTGTAAGCAGTTAATTAAATATTTTTTACTGGTATCATCACTATCATCATCATCATCATAGTCATTATTGTATCATTTGTAAGCTTCAGGGTGATTGTTGCTGATAATGTTAGGTTATGTTTATGTCATTTCTATTATCTTTGAATGTCATGGTCAGTATAACAACAGTCATGTGAAGTGGTGGGGAATCCACATTAAACTCGATATTTATGTGATTAAATCATGGATTTTATTCTGTCTGTGTAACTATTCTTTGATTTTCTTCTTTAAACAACTTTTTTTAAAAAATAAATGGAGGTACATTTCTTTTAAGTGGGATTTAGACTGAGCTTTGAAAGCTTACATCCTGTTTCCTGTCTATCAAAGAGGCTGTGCTATAGACCCACATGAAAGTGCCTGTGGTATTATTTTTTGAAGTTATGTTAATTTTATGGAGATGAATGTTGGAGCAACAGTGACATTTTCTTAAATGGTTTGCATTTATATTATCCATTTCAAAGAGAAACTATAGGAGCAGCACCATGAAACTTGCCAAAATTGTAGGTTTCTTTAAAATATTTTACAATTTAATTTTGCTCCACCAATATTTAGGTTATGTTTAATTTTTTGTCATTTGTTTACTTAAGGCTTACATTTGAATTATTCTACATTTTAGTTATTCAGCAATGAAGTAGTAAACAAATGAAAGTTTATGCCATTGTTGGTTAATATTTAATTTTCAGTGGTAGCTTAAAAAGAATATACCAAATTAATGAATTTTTAATATTTGTAAAGTAATTAAATACTGTACCTTTTGGGATACCTTCAGTGCATTAAAGATGAACTGAATTCAGCTTAAAGTATGGTTTTCAGTGTAATATTTATATGTTAGTGTTACATTATACTTTCAGGTGGAAGCTGTGAAATATTTGCTGTGTCTGCCCAAAAATATTTTCTCATTTACTTCTGTTGTGTGCGCTGTGTTATGATTCGTTGTGGATTGAATGACAAATATATGTGATAAGTGCGTAAATGTTGATGTTAAATGGCGCAGTTCTTTTTATTGATAATATTGTCTCAAGTAGAAGTGTTATGAAATTATTATGTGATTACAGAAGAGAAAATATGTATTTATAATAATAGAGATCATTTATATTCCCTCTGACACTGAGTTCAAATGATAAATTTATGTATGCTACTCTGTTTCATGATGTAGCGAAATTCATGCAAAGTGGGGTATAGTTTTGTATGATCTGAAGCTTTTATGGCGACTGAGTATAATAAATTCTTCTCGAGCTGGCAGCCATGAAAGGCGGCTTATTGATGAAAATATCAGCCAAGGATACTGAGGACGAGGACGAAGATGGATCTCGAAACGCTGGTGTTTTCTTCATTATGCCACCTTACGTGGCTGGTAGCCCGAGAAGAATTTATTATAGATAATACAATAATTCTAATGAAGAGCAATTAGCCAAATTGTATTGTAACCTGTTAATCAGGTTTAACGACGTTTCTGAACAGGATAACTAATGCATTTGATTTTGATTTGTTCACAGGTTACTTAAGTACAACTTTTCTTACAACTGCGGTAACATACAGCAAATACAATGTAATAGATTATATGTATATTATTTATTGCTCTTATAGGCCAGATCTACTCAATACACCCAAGTGTGCAGCTGCCTTATACTCCGCGGAGAGGTTACGCGTACGGTGCAGGTAAAACATGTGAAACAACATGAATAAAGCTACTGGTGTATTGATAAAGGCTTAAAGTATGGACTCCACTGCACTGCACTGTTATGACACTCACTGATGTACATAGACACAAATTAATATGAAGTAGTGTTGCAACTGCTAGCTAGAAGACATTTATTTCAAATTAGAGGGTTTTTTTGTACCAGTGCTTATGTGTTTTTAAAAATGGTACCTACGTTATTTACATTTTTTTTTATCTTATAATTTTGAACCAAATGCACCGATATGTTTGCAATTTTAGATATTTTCCCTTCAAAATTGGTAAAGAATAATTTTTCTTTTGGATTTTTGTACAACAAGTCTTTCATTCAACGGTATTAGGGGCGGGTTTGTCGCCTTTGAAGTGTGCATTCTTTCCAAATGCATTCTTTGTGATTTTTCATTGTTCATTTGTCTTTGTGGTATAGATCCAAATCTTTTGTTCACAAAGCTAATTAGCAACAGAAAGAAAACGCAGAATTTTCGTATAAAAATAAAAAATGTGGTCTTGCTGGTTGAGATTGAGTTAATATAAGTGTTTACCAGTAGGTGGATCTGCCAACAATATAATAAAATGTAATTATGTTTCTTGAGATTGTGGCAGGAGTGAGCGTGCATTAATAATGATGAAACAACACTGACAAGAACATGGCAAATGGCAGAGAGATCAAAATTGTGAGGCTTTCTAGATCTCTGGTGTTTAGCAAATACGAATGAAGCTCAGAACAGTGGGGAGAAGTAATTGGATATGCTGGAGGAAAAAAGTGTCTGATTGAAGTGGAATTTTATCAACATGCTTACAATTTTAAGTGTGTGCACTGAAATGGAATAAAATGTTTGTAGTTGCTGTAGATTTTCATAACTTTTCTGTTCTTAAGGCAAGGAATGGTAGAGTAAACGGAATGAGAGGCGCGTGAGGGGAATCGGAATAAAATTCAACACTGTGGAGAAGGAAATTATTTTGACGCAGAAAACAGGAGAAGAAATTCTTATAAATTTATTCTGAATTTCGTAAACATTTGAACTAAATGTAATTTGTTGGTCCTGTCTTTAATATATTATTTCATTTTAATTTCACAATATTTTCCCCTGAAAATTATCTGAATGTCGTACCGTATGCATGTTTGTATGTAACTTAGAACAAAGGCTTTAAAATGCACTGCTGTACGACTTGGTGTATTTCTTGCACCAGTATGTAGAACTGTATGTAATATTTGTTTACTTTTCATTGGATGTAAAGGGGTAGAAATAATTATTTGTTTGTACTGACTGGAAAATTAAAAAGAATATATTTTTACAGTTTTTGAATTACATTACATTCAATGTATTGCAGAAGAATGTTCATGAATGAATGACATTATTCTGGCGTGCTTGAAATGCTTGTTATTTCTTACATTGAACTGTAAGAGCTCAAAAAATATTTGGACATGGGAGAGGTGAAAGTAATGAGGTCTCGAGTGTGATGCATGATTGGGAATGTCATGATGTCACGTGAGGGATACAAGAAGTGCATATAGAACTTGTAAATTTTGTAGGGGGGACTGCATTTAAACTGAGGAGGATGGAGATGGGAGTATGATATTAAAATGGATCACAGGCAAATGGATTGTAAGGTGTGAACTGGATTGCACTGGCTCGTGAGTTTTAATTATTAACTTCTATGATGATTCAGTGCATTGATTAAAACTGCAAAGAAAATGCAGACATTTAGTGCATTTTGTTCTAGGGTATATTTTATTATACTGAGCCGCTCAAAAAATGTGTAAGATGGCCAGTGAATTTGGAAAAATTCAATTCAATTAATTCAATCAAAGTTAGGGAGAAAGTTTTAACAAAATGTTCAAAACAATTTTAAAATTTACAAGACAGTGATAATTGTGTTTATTCACTGGGAACAGTTGCCACACTACAGAATATCAAATATGTGACCTGAAACAAGAAATGGACGAGGAATTCTTTAATTTGTTTGCTTTTTTTGTTGTCAGTAATAAGTAACCGAATTTCTATAGAACATGAGAAACTGATATTTGGTTAATATTCATATTTGGCTATTTCATTGTAGATACAAAAACATGTGAAATGCAGAAACTGGCGAAAAATACCATGTTCTGTTGGAATCAGTTTGCATGAAGTGTAATAAACTTATGTCCTGCTTTTCAAATTTCCCAGTCTCCTTCATTGGAAAGGTGTTGCAGGGCCTTAATACCAACTCACCCATCAAACAATATAACCCATGCGCTCGATATTAAATGCTGGAAGTAGCTTTTTTTGCGTCTGGTGCCGGATTGTCCGAGTGTCAGATGCTAGTATCCAATGTAAAAGGTCTCACGTTTGCCATCTTCATTGCTTTGTCAATGTGTGGACCTCCTGGCTCTCCCTATAGTTCACCTAATTCATGGCATCCATCGCAGTGCTGTGATTGGGCATCAGTGCTTCTGCTTTAGAAGTGAAGTCCATGTGACATGACAGAGGCCAAGAAGGCATTAAAAAACTTTGCTTTGAGGCTTATTAATTACGATTTTAAAATTATCGTGATTTTTTAGGAATATTTGTTTAATTCCAGAAACCCTTATAGAATTGTAAAATCCAGCATTTAATATTCATGCATTTACCTCTCATGGCAATCTGCTAATAATGAAACGTAATGCTGTACTACTCATACATTTTTTTCAGGATACAGTCACAAAGGGAATTTGGATAATGGGATACCAATTACCAGCTCACAAGTCATGACATTTGATTTAATACTGCACTTATATTCATGTGAAAATGATGTGGAATGATCGTCTTTTAGATACCAATTAATGTCGAATGGATTACAGTTTGTTCCTAAAAGATGTGGAATTGAATGGATACAAATTAAGTTTGAGATTTCTGGCCAGAATTAAATTTCTTTCTTATGTTTCTTTGTGTAATTTTCCTGAGAAGGGAGATTACTCAGATTTTGATGATATTTCATGCTAAAGCTCTTTTCACTATTGGGCAAATAGTGCTGGATTCACATTCTTAAAACAAATCTAAACAAATTTAAAAATTGATTATCTGAAACAAAATGTGGCAGTCTATGTATTTAACTATCACGTGTCCATGTTGTTTGAAAACCTTAGCTATCTTTTTAGCTAATATAATGTACATTTTGCATGTCGCGCCATCACTTTCAAACAACGACTGAGGCACCATAAGACAATCACCACATCATTTACATGTGGAATCATGTATTCTAATTATTGATGATCTAACCATTTGCCTTTTAGTAACAGTATTTATACCGCAGCTGGGAATTCAGCACGTAACTGTATATGTAAGTTTGTCAACAGAGACCTCTATGTTTGATATATTTACTGCTTTGATGGATGCGATTCAAATATTTACAGAGAACACGCTCAGTAATGATCAGAAATTAAAGGATGCGTTGTAGTTTGGAGTCTACAGAGGTTTCATTGCTCTCTTGCATTCTGTATCACGTATTTACTGATTCCATTGCAGTGGATTGTGGTCTTTATTGTCTAGACCAGTGGTATTCAACCTGGGGTACGTGAAGACATCTTAGGGGGTACGTGAAATTTAAAAAATATATATATTATTTTATGATAAACACTGAATAATCAGGGAAAGATTTAATACATTTTTTGGATGTAATTTATTTAATTTCTTTTAGATGTAGATTATATACTATGTATAACTTGAATTATACACCAACAATTTTGGGGGTATAAAGTTGAAGAGAAATTATATCTGGGGGTACGCGAACAAAAAAGGTCGAATACCACTGGTCTAGACAGAGGGATCACAGATAATTTTCAATCACACTTGAGGCATAGATATTTTCTGCTCATTTCTGTGTTGTTATGTGACGTTAGAGGTCTCATGTTGAACCGATGTCCCGTCTGTGAAGTGATGTTGTCAAAGTAAAATTCAGGGGAGACCAAGTCTTGAGTGAAGGTGTGAGCTAATGAAGAAACGCAAAAAACTTGGTTATAAAATGTTATTTTTTGGTAGGCTGTAATATTTTCATTAATGATTTCATGATCATCTACTGGACTACCTATACAACTATTGCTATGGAAACTAATGGTGTGGCTGCAAAAGTATGGTATATAACGGTTATGTACATAAATGCGGAATGATTTGCTTCTGAAAGTAATAGCTCTTATGATTGGTTAAGTCATCAAGTGATATGATTGGTGATGGGAGTTGGTGTTATAATTGCTAATTACCACATCTAACTGAAAAATAGTGCGTTAATTTGACAGCATAACGGCAGGGTGCTACATATCATGTAACCAATTTAAAATGTACAATCTATTTTAACATCTGGATTCTAATAAATTGATTGTATGGGTTAGCAAATAAAGACATTTGCTGGTGGTCTTATTATTAAATTAAGATAATTTGTTGTGTTCTTGATGTGTTATTTTAACTGAATTTTGTGAATAACTTTAGAGTATAGTGGCCACATATGTGAGGTTCCCCAGCACAAGCCAACATGCTATCATTAACCACCAATATGGTCATAAAATTTGTTTTATTTATGTTTACTAGACCCATTTCAAACCTAAGTTAAGAAACATGAAATTGAGTGAAATTACCCAAACTTAACCTGTCTCTAAATTCATATTTACCTGTTAAATATCAAAGTATGTCTAAAGATCGTCAGAAGTATACAAATATATACATATGTAGATGAGTGATATGTAAACAAATGAAATGTATGAGCAACTGGTTGCCATTTTGTGAAGGCATACCAATCCCGTGTTGATTGTTGGTCGTTTATAAAAGCGACTGACTATTTTGATGGTTTATACTAGGGCTAGTAACCTTAAATGAAGACTAAGCAGGTTAGAATAGAAACAAAAGTGTAGTGAATAAATAAATCTCAAATTCATCTACAGATACTGTAAAGCTGTTATCTGTCTTGGAAGTCAGGTAAAGTTTTATGTTAATAAAGTAATTGATAAAAGTGACTTACTAGAAGAAGCCCCCTCTCCATTTACACAACATATAAAAACAGAAAACCTTTGTGTTGTTAGTCCATTGATGAAATAAATGATGTGCTTCCCAATTGTTCAGTGTCTGCCACTCTACTTATTATAGGATTGTGATTTGATGATCCCTGGCCATGTCTGTGTGTAACATAGCAAGCCCCACCTTGGGCAGAAAAATGTAGCGCTGTTGTTTGCACTTCATTTGAACTTCAGATGTGGAAGCGTGGAGTCAGAAGCTTGTAGCTCTCAGAGTGGATTCCAGTAGTATGATGGTGGAAACAGCTGCCAGGTCACTGGCAAAACAGGGGAAGCGGAAGTGTGCCTGGCAAATGAGTGATTGTCGGCCAGTGCTGTTCGAGAGGGACAGCGCAGAGTGCTGATTAGAGGGATCATCAAATCACTTTTGGCATGCTAAGCAGTGGTATTACAGTACTCTGTAAGTCAAAGTGAGTGGGTTGTACGTGTGCTTTCTTCCAGGGCAGTTGTTCTCCCAGAGCCTGAATAATCGTCCGGCAGTCGTAAACACGAAGGAGGGTTCTGCTCTGGATGACGACTCGTATCTTGGTTACTCAGTTGCTGTTGGTGATTTTGGTGATGGTGATGGGAGTGGGGCAGCTGTTGGGATGCCTCGAGGCGCAGGCCTTCTTGGCAAGGTGCTGTTTTGAACCTCTGCCCCAATTGATGTTTAGAAGTCTGTTTATGTAGCGCAGTGTCTGACTATGGACCGAATCTTAGAATTGTTTCTCTGGTCATTTCTGATGAATTACATGCTTTTGTTCTTCGTTCATACATGACATTATTCTGTTATATGTGAATGCTTACGTATTATATGACAAAGTCTGGAATAGGAACAGTTTTGTTATGGATGCGTTCAGACTTTATGGGATTATGGTTGTGTCTTGATGGTCTAATTTACTGATATGTTGGAGATCACCTCGAAGGTGAAGGCAGATAAGCTGTCTAAAACAGTGGAAAATCAGCCAATTTGAGCACAGAGTTATCACCAGAAGTTTTGAACTTCAGTTCTTTACTTTGAGAAATATCCTTGCTGTTTCAGGTGATTCTCTATACGTGGAATTTGACAAATCATCTGAACCTGACTGGGGAACAGCTCGGTTCGTACTTTGGCTACGCATTGTGTGTGTCGGATTTGGATGGGGATGGACGGGATGACCTTGTGGTTGGTGCCCCACTCTACACTGACCTGTCAAACAACAAGGGGAATTATGAGACGGGGCGGATTTACATCTTCTATCAAAGCTTAGACGTAAGTGTCCTTTAATATGAGAATTTTAACACGTTAAGCTAATTAGAAGATGCTTGTGTTTCAGTGGGGAGAGACATGTGCACATTGTAATTGAATTTGTAGTATTCAGAATACTAATTTGGTTAATTAAACTACAAATATGCAAAGTTTCTGTTTAGTATTTACGTATAAATACCTGTTTGATGCACATGCAATTCACAATGGGCTAAACCAAGCGTACACTTTATTGGCTGCTGCTATTGGAGTCAGATGGCACAATTAAGTAATTGTATATTTTCTTAAAATAGCTAAAAATAATAGTGTTTCACAAACACTCTAAAATGAAGACAAGTCTTAAATGTATGCCCAAACTAGTAAGAGTCAAATGTTCCATTGGGTGGATTAATTTTGGTTAATACCAACATTATTAGATCTATTTGTTTGTTTCTTGTTTTGTATATTTCAATTTCTGTATAAATTACGAATGTATTAGCACATTTTTATCAAATCCCTTCAAATTCAAGTTCAGGAAGATTCCAGGTCAGTCACCCAGCGCAGCCTGGCACAAGAGTGCTTCTGATGCCAAGTGTTTGTTTTGAAGTATTTTCTCTTCTATTTGAGATTATTCAAAAGAAAATAATTTAATATCACATTGACTTCATTTAGTTCCAAGACAGATTTCGACAGTTCCATAAACGGGATGGCAAAAATTCCAGATCAAGATTCGGTTTATCATTGAGTACTCTTGGAGATATTAACAAGGATAATTATGGAGGTAAGTAAGGAGAAATTTGTTGTAACCATGTTTAATACTGACAAATATTGAAGCTTCTTGTTTTGTAAGATTTGAGGTTTTCACAGTGGTGAGTATGAAGATTTCTGTCTTCTGGGTTGTTGCGCTGTGTAGTCTGGTCGATGTTAACCAACGTTTCGGAGGTCATACTGCCTCTGTCAGCAGGGCGATCGAACGTTTCGATCGCCCTGATGACGGAGGCAGTATGACCTCAGAAACGTCGGTTAACATCGACCAGATTACACAGCGCAACGACCCAGAAGACAGCCATCTCAAAATTCACCTCATGAAAACCTCAAATCCTACTCGGGAAATACTGCTCACTTAACGGAGGAACACACTAAAAAAATTTGCTTTGTATATAGGTGAAGTAAAGAGCACCCAGAATTATAAAATATAAATATTCTTTGTTTCGTTCCTTGGGTCAAAATCAATTTTTTGCATTTTTACCTTAGACATATTCAACCCTTAGGTATCACGTCTCTCTTATTACAGACATTGCTGTTGGTGCCCCATATGATGGCCCAGACGGCCGTGGAGCAGTTTACATCTTCCATGGTTCAGACAAGGGCATAATGGAGAAGCCATCACAGGTAATCCAGGCAGAGGATGTTCACAGAACATCTTCGACATTTGGATTCTCTGTGGCTGGTGGCATGGACCTGGATGAAAATGAGTACCCAGATCTGGTGGTCGGTGCATATGAAGCAGACACGGCCGTCTTCCTCAGGTATCGGCTTGAAGTTGACTCAAATACCCTTTTCATTTGTGTTTTGAAACAAACCGTACCCAAATCCGAAAAGTAAACTTAAAAGTTATTTAACCTTTAGTTAATTTAACCATGAATTTATTGTTTGTTCATACTTTAGAGCTCGTCCAGTTGTGAGGCTTGATGCGACTGTCACGTTTCGTGACGAATCAAAGCAGATAAGTTTGGATACGAAGGCATGCACGCTACCAGATGGCACTGATGTTGTATGTACTGAGCTCAATGCATGTCTGGAGTATAGCGGTGTTGGCGTTGATCGTAAACTCGGTCAGTATAAGTATATATACTCTTTACATTAGTGTACATTTGCAAGCCATGTACTGTCATTGAGATGGACGGGCATGTAGCGTACAGAGTAAAACTAACGACACTGTGGTTAAATGGTTAGTCTGTCATATTTAGAAGGTCCTAGATTCAAATCTTGGCCTGAAGATTGACTGGTTCTCATCAGTTTGTTCAGGAAAATGCTGTGATGACACTTTTAAAATTATCATTCACAATCATCTTATAAGTTCATTTTGAAATGAATTTTAAAACGTGCGTTAAAAATATAAACTTTTCAGGAATCACATTATTTCACATTAATGAAATCAAAATTGCTGCCTCATAAACACATTCCAAATTTGAAGCTTTTAAAATAGTTCACTGTAGTGTCGGGTTTATTTTACTTCTGTTACTCAGATTTCAAACGTTTAAACTGGAAACATTTGTTTAGCGTTCATTTTTATTTATGTGTTCTGACATCATAATTTGTCCTCCTTTCTTCCTGTCTAGAAATAAATTTTCTTCCTGACTTCATTTGTCCTGTGCAGTTTGTAGAGTCGCTTTGTGTTTTCTGTGGTGTTGAAGTAGTGGAATGAAAGACGAATAAATGAAGTTCTGAAGTGATATATCTGGAATTAAAATATGTGTCGTTTTGACACACTCAAAAACTCGTGTTTTCTGTTTGTCCACACAAGACTTTGAGGTGCAGTTTTTGCTGGATGCCAAGAAACCAAAGACTCCACGCATGTTTCTGTTATCAGAGGCAGGCCGTAACATAATGAACTACACGCTGCGACTTGACAAGGATTTGCTCTTTTGTAAGAGTTTTCCTGTCTACATAAAGGTATGTAATGTGTGTAGCAATTGAATCTCATAAAATGTTTACCCTCTTTGTCTCACAAGATCTCTGAACTATATTGAGTATAGTGGATACAAGTAATTGGCTTATAATTGTATTTAAGTTTTTTATAACATAATATCTGTCAATGTTTATAAAGCATCTTTTGAACAGTTGCACTCAGCTGTATGTACATTCAAAATAGATTCTGAGAAAATGGTGAACATTCAGACCTTGTGACAGGTAATTTCATTTTATTGGTTTTAATCGATTCGTTAATCATTCATCTGTTTTTATTTTTAATGGGTATGTGTGGTGCTCTTTAAGAGGTGTAAAGTATCTGAGCATCTCCATAATACACTCCGTGTGAAAAATACAAAGTTGCTGTTTATTAAAGCATGTGGTATAGATAGTTCCCATTGAGCTGAATAATGTTAAAGTAGACTTTAATTACAGAGTGGTATCAGAGACAAGCTCACTCCCCTGGAAGCAGAGATGCGTTATAGTCTGCGTACCGGCAGCGATGCCACCCTGGCAGGTAGACGTCGAGTTACTCGTTCGCTTGTCCCCGTCTTGGATCAGAGTAAGGATTCTGTGCGTCGTGACTCCATTAGCATCCAGAAAAACTGTGGGCCAGACAACATCTGCATACCTGACCTCAAGCTCACTGTAACACCGTAAGTCACACATATAAAAATGTACTTCCATCCCGTTCTTACTTCACCAAGACGCTGTGGATTTGTGTTAATAATAACTTGTATTCTGTTTCAGAAGCGTCAATAGATATCTCCTTGGCTCTGGTCACCGCCTGGAACTGGATGTCATTGTAGAGAATAAGGGTGAAGATTCGTTTGAGACGACATTTACAATGGGAATGCCCGTGGGTGTCAACTATATCAACATAGAGCGTATGGACAATGCAGAACAAGAGTTCCTTGTTCAGTGTTCAGCACCGTCACAAACCAACAACAACACGCTTCGCTGTGACCTTGGTAACCCGCTGCCCCAGAACCGACTTGCGCACTTCAAGGTGCTCTTGAAACCGTCTCTTACGGAAGTGATGAAACCCCGGTATGAGTTCAAAATGAGTGTGAACAGCACCAATCCTGAGCAGGAACTTACAACCGATGATAACAGATTCAAGCTCGCCGTGCCAATCTGGGTGGACGCAGAGTTGGAGATACATGGGTAAGATTAGAGATTGATTACGTTGTCTTTTACTTGATTTTGGGGTATTTAACCCTTTGACGAGTGTACATTTATGAGGTAAAATAAGTAAGCAAAGGCTGTTTTAATTTACCTCGTGTGATTTTGGCAGCACTGAAAATTATAACAAATATCTTACATGTAGAACCCTTTCTTCTCTGAATTTCTCCGGCTTTGCTCATATTGTTACGCAACAATAATTTATTATTTTATAAAGCATAATGTGATCTATTATCACCGCTGTTTTGTTCCTTAGCCTTCGTTTAACACGGGAAGCAATGCAACAGCATAAAACAACAGGACTTTTTTTATCAACATAAATTTACAGAATGTGGAATAAATAGTGGACACAAATGACAAGAATGTGTGGAATTTTGCTTAACAAAACAAAAATTATTAAAATATTATACAATTTATTGAATGTGGATGTTTAAACCAAAACCTAGAAGGAAACAGATTTTCTGTTTTATGTTTCAGAGTTTCAGAGCCCCCAGACCTTCATTACAATATGACGCTGTATGACGGTGCAGACAACGCGACCCACGAAACAGAAGTCGGACCGCAACTTGTTCATACGTATTCGATTATCAACAGAGGCCCGTCCAGCATCACAGAAGCAGAGGCGTACTTTGTGTGGCCTTCCTTTACATTTGATGGTGTGTACTAGTTTGTTTTTAAAATAAAGTGTAACAAAATTGTACTTGAGATAAAACACTCGAACACGCAATCCACCACTTTATAATTCTACATCTTTTGTTGAATGTGTGTTCTGTCATTACATGTAAGGGTTGTAAATATAAATGATGTCCTTTATCTGCCTTGTGTGATGGATTATATATGGTCAAATTGGCCATGTGTTGCACTAGCATACCACTAAACTGTTAATCCTGGAACCTCAAATCCTGCTTAGTATTTTTATGCCTGCGCACTATCTTGTGTTACAGATGAAAACATTTTGTACCTTGTTGAGATGCCTGAGACCGAGGGTTCTGTGAGATGCGAGCTCGTTGGCGACGCCAAAGCAAATGCTCTAAATTTAAAGGTATTTCGGTGGTTACTTGAAGATGATAGGGCATCATAATGTACATGCTGAGTTCCGAAGTAATGTTTAGTAAAAAAAACCCATTTGTAGCTGATGCTCATCTTAACACTAAAAAAATCAAGTTTATGCTTCGAAGAAGACGTGTGTCACCATTACCAAAATCAATTGCTTAATGCTGTTTAGGGATGAATGTGACCTTAATAATTTACCTCCATGCAGCACTGATTACAATTAATTTTAACTTTGCAGTTGGATCGCAAGAAGAAACTATATTTTGAACATAGCTCAAGTTCATCTCATGTTGCAACGTCGGTCAGTTCAAGTACTTCAGTCTCCTCCTCCTCCTCCTCCTCCTCCTCTTCATCGTCATCATCATCATCATCATCATCCAGCAGCAGCAGTGGCTCGAGGACTCAGCATGGCAGTCGAGATGAAGATCATTCTGATCGTAGACTCATGACGTTAACAGAAGAGGAAAGGAGACGTTATGAAGAGGAGAAGAAGTCGGGCGTTGATGCTGAGGAAGAACAGTCAAGAACAAGCGGAAGCAGGAGTACTTCACATGATGTAGAAAGTAGATACAAGGTAGAAAGTCGTCATGGTGGAGGCAGAGGGCACGGGGGTGGAGTTAGAGTGGAAAATGAAAGGGGACGGACTGATAGTTATAGAGGCGGATCAGCTGTTGGCCAGGATAGTGACAGTAAAGGAAGAGTTGAAGATAAAAGGGGTGGTAGTGGAGTAGATGTAAATACAGGTGGTGCAGGGGTGGGGGAAGCAGAAGGTTCTAGGACGCACTCTTCACGTAACTTTTCTGCGACATGGAGTGAAAACGGTGAGGCCCCACGCAGTTACAGTAACTACAGCTACTCTAACTGGACGTCTGGAGGGGAAGTTTCGGGCGTCGGTTCTGCCGCCTATGGGAAGGGTAGCCATGAGACGACAAGTTCTCATCACTCCTCTTCTAGTTCAGCTGGCTCAGGAGGTGGGTATGTGGGACAAGTTGGTAGCTCTGCGCACTTGGACGGTACGGGAAACGTCCGACAACACAGTTGGTCATCAGGTGATGCAGAAGGCTCAGATAATGTTGGAAGAGGTTATCAAGGTGCAGGTTATGGTGCTGGAGGTGCACATTTAACTTTTTCGACTGAAACCTCAGATATTTCAGACAATATCGGAGCAAGGTATCAGAGTCCGCATCTGTCAAATGCTGGAAGAACTGGTTTGGTTCAGGGTACTGGAAACAGAACAAGGTTAGAAGAGCATCAGACTTGGTTGACTCAAGATAATGCTCATGCAGGTACCAGTAGATTTGGTTCAGAGCTGGAAGAAAGTGCTCGGGGTTCCGGTGGCCTTCGTCATTATATTTGGACGCCCGAAATATCGGGAGATACTCTTGGCAGGCATGAAACTTCTAGTTCCGGTTTAGATAGTGCCAGGGGCCATATTGGCAGAAATTCACATATTGGTATTGAAACAGACAATGCGGCAGCTGGAAAGCAGTGGTATTCGGGCAGTGGTTCTTCTCAGTACGGAGTAGTTGGCGGTGAAGACGAGGCTAGACGACAACATGGCAGCCATTCTGGTGGCTCATATAGTTGGAGCACTGTTGACAGAGGTGTCACACAGAGTCAAGGTTCAGATAACAATCGTGATTATGACGCGTGGACGAGAGGAGGACATGACGCTCGTGAAACAAATGCGGATAATATCGACTACAATGCCGGCAGGAGAGGAAGCGGATCGCACGGTGCCGGTGGCAGTGTTGACGTAACACAGCACTACAGTTCCTCAAATTTGGGTTACGGTGAAGGCACTGGGCAGCATGGCTCTGGTGTCTCTCGGCAGTACAGTTCCCATCGTGAGAGTGGTACGAGCTGGAGTTCAAGTGACAGGACGGTCAGTGAGAATAAACTTGAAGGTACAGACGATCAGTCTTCTGGTCAGCTTAAGTTGTACCGTAAATACAGGCACCATAGTTCCGTTGAAGATGGTCACAAAGAAAGGCGGTCAAGACAACGACGTAATGTGGACGATGCAGAACTCGAACAGGCAACACGATGCAACATTACTAAATGTTCGAAGATGCGCTGTGTGCTCGGACCCATGGCTAAGGGCGAAGAAATTAAATTTGCCTTCAGATTCCTTGTATGGGCAAAAACTCTCAAGTCGGTAAGTTTTATAGTCTTATTTTTATGTATTTGTGATATGTTTAAAGACGGTGTCAATAGCTCAGAATATGCAGTGTCAGACGATAGGATGATTAATGAATAATGAACTGGAAAGGATATGGGCAGAAGCAGTTGTGGTCTAATTGAAGGTACTGTTCTAGTATTTGCCTTGAGAGGCTGCTAAGTTAAGCTATGAAAGACCTCGTTGAGGTCGACCATTCTCAAGACATAAATTTGAAATTTTTGAACTTGGGAGGAGTGCTCATCACTTGGCCATAATGTTCAAATTTTTACTCTTAAATTCAATATTCATTTATATTTAAGCTTCACGTTCATTTGTACCCAGGACAACAGTTTCAAGAACATGCGTCTTTCAACAAAATAGATCAAATGGTGTGTTAGGAGCACCATTTAGAATGAGAATTTAGCTATGGGAAGGATTTAATTTTCAGTAAAATTAAGATTGCAGCATAATACTTGCCTTCATTTGTTGTCGTCACATCATTTTATGTTCTCAGTTTTGCGCAATTTGAACATGCTGCTGTCCAAGGTCATGAGGAAGTAAGTCTGGTATTAATGTTGATGTTTTACAGAAACAGTATTATTACCCGAGGCTCAGAACTTCCATTAGAGAAACAAATGCATTACAGTTGGCAGCCTTGTACAAAGATACAGTACATGGTTTATAATGAATGCTTGCAGCTGAACGTGTGTGTTAGGGATTACGTACATATGCGTACTGTGTGATATTAAAATTGTTATTCACAGCTTGGATACAACAGGCCTGCCAATGTTTCAAGTTTGGTTGCAACACGACTAACACGCCTGCCATACGTTGGGGCACCCGATCAAGTCAGTCTGCGCACAGAAGAGGTCATCACTGAAGTGGTGCCCACGGATGCACCACTGAAACCAGAGATTGTGCCCCTTTGGATTGTGGTTCTGTCTGCTTGTGCTGGTGCTGTCATTCTACTGTTACTCATATTCTTACTGTGGAAGGTCAGAATCTATCTCGTTATAATTTCTTAATTAAGAGCAACCTATTTTGATAAGTCAAGACTCCAGTGGGGGGTGGGGGGAAGATGCTATAAGTATATTGGGTACTTGTGCGTTATCGTGACACATCGCTTTAAAAATAGGTTCAGTGAAATAAATTATAAAATCTTATCTAAACACTTATTTGCTTTTATTTTACAGTGTGGTTTCTTCAAGAGGAACAGGCCCAGTAGCGCGCCGGAAAAACAGCCGCTGAACCGTAATGGTCATTACGAACCTGGAGATGAAGCGTTGTGATTATGCAGCTCTAAAGGGAGGGAAAGAATAAATTGACTACGTGGCAGCTTGCTGAAGAAGGCGGTGATGAACCGTGGATACCGAAACTGTAGACGAGTGTGATGTGATAAAAATGTCACTTTTATAAATGTGATGGAGAATGGACGACATCTCAGTTGCCATACGTCTATCAGTCCAATGCGCATTTAAATTTCTGTAAATGCGCTTTGTGGTCCAGTTTTCTCTGGTCTAGGAACAAAGACGTTAAGATATGTAAAAATCAAATGTAAAAGAACTGACTTTGCAAATATGTAACATAATAATTAGGAGTATTTTTACGAATGAGATTTCAACGCTGTTAGAGCTACAATAATTTTAAAGAGACAGAACTTTGGTGTTGAATAACTTGTACTGTAAATTTTTAACGTGGTACAGGAACCATGTTTCTACCAAGAAAACTATTTATATTTGAAGGATGTCATGAATATTTTTCAATTTTGAGATGGAAATTTTGGGCGTAAAGAGTACATACCCCTGCACTGAAGGGTTAAACAATAGTTTGTTCACATTGTCAAATAGCTACATACAGAACTGATATGCTTCAAAAACAACTAATTTTGTTTTGAGAAAGGACGAATCGTCATAAACATAATTATTATATTTTGGACATTAATATTTAGCTTAAGACATACTGTATTTTTTTTTTCAAAGGCTAATCTGTAATGCTCTGTAATGTTTGTGAGCTAGCGACTCAGCATCTTGATTCTCCTTACAACTAGACAAAGTAACAAGCTTGTTATAAATAAATATGGTCAGAATAAAATGAATATGTGCCTAATAAATGAAAAGAATGCATAATATAATTTATTAATAATTAACCCTGACTAAACAGAAAACTTATTTTTTCATTGAAAATGTTTGTGCGTGATTTCACAGTTATAAGGAAGCATATGGAGCTCCTCTTAATCAGTGTTTAATAGCTGAATTTTGTATACTGTACTAGAATACATAAGGCAACAAGTGATGTAGGATTCCATGGTTCAAGACTGCTCATTATGTTTTTTCAAAGTGACTTCTCTGCGTAGCATAGTGGGGCTAGCAAATTAAGTTTGAAAAATTTCATCAACCTTATCCCTTACGCCCTACTTCTTTTTCTGCTGGACTATGTTCCAACATGGGCACTTGCATGCATAGTCTGGGTGCAGGACTGTGTAAAATTTTACGTTTTCATTACAGGAATTTGCCTCTCAACACTTCTGTCTTTCAGCCATGACAACTTGACATTTCTTCCTAGTAAGATTCAGTTTAAAGTCAACAAATAAGCTTTTTCCACTTCTTGAACAGTGGTCCCTGCAGTACAATACCTTTCAGGCTCTCTGCTTAGCTCAGTTTTTCATTTGGGGGCCTAGTTAATTTAAAATTCAAAGTATGAGATTTGGCATACAGCGGTGTGGCTCTGATTGACATAATATTACAATAAATGGAAAAGTAATAATTATAGTTTTTTTTAAAAAAAGTCCACAACAATGACCTGAGTGCAAAAGCAGTGTTTTCATTATGTTGCTTGTTTCTTTGATATATCCTGAGCATTACGTTGATGACAGATGCAGTAATCACCTTTAAGACGTCGGACAGTTTTTTTCAGAATACAAGGCAAATATCCCAGACTTGTTAAATCATTGTGGCTGTGTTATGAATGGAAAGTGGAAGGTGTTAGTTGAACCAATTGAATTGTAGTTAGTGTTGTTACCGACTGAGCTCTTGTAAATGGCTATACCGCTGCGGGTAGAACAAATGCGGAACGTCATGCGACATATTCGTTGCCAACTTAAAATACCTAGTAACAGATTTATATGTTGGTATTATGTATAATGTGTAATCTGTGGTGAGCAGTGTTCGATGATCTTCATTTAGATTTAGTAATTTGAAAGGTGGTTTTTGAATGACTTATTTTTGTTATTTGTGTAATCTTATTCTGAGCTAATTATATAGTAAGTATTATAGTTATGTCAAATAGCGCAATATAATGGGTTATTATGTCTGTCTTATCCTGGATTCAAAATGAGGCTTAGATTGCATTTTTTGTTATATATTGATTAAGTCGAGAAGAATGAGATGGGCGGAGCATGCAGCACGCATGGATGGGACAAGAGGTTGCACCGGGTATTGGTTGGGAAGCCTGAGGTGAAGAGACCGCTGGGGAGACCTAGATGTAGATGGGAGGATAATATCAGGCGGGATCTATGGGAAATAGGAGTTGAAGGAGACTGGATTTTGTTGGCCCAGGACAGGGTCGGGTGGAGGGCTTTGGTTAATTCGGTGATGAACCTTCGGGTTCGGTAAGCCATCTAGTTAGTTAGTTAGTTATATCAAATAATTTTTAAACTGCCTTTGGAAGTAATCAAACGAATAAACTGCTCCTGAAAGTAAATAGAGTCAAGAGTTTCCACTTCTGCCTAGTATTTCAGAGGTCCCAGGTTTAGATTTCTAGTTCTCCTGGTTTGCCACAGATTCTAGACGCATATACCAGAATAATACCTTAAATTAGACCACCACCACTTCCATTCATATCTTTTCCAGTTTATTATTATCAAATAATGATGCTATGTATTTAGATTCTCTGACAAGTTTGTTCAATAAACCCTAAATAAATGAAAGTGTAGAGGGAGGATCTGGTCTGTTTTTTACATTATCTTCAGAATGAATGAATGATAAATAACCAAGTGAATTAATTCCATTTTTAATATGAAGATAGGTGTCTTTCTGCATAAATGAATGTTTTTATCTTTGTTCATAATTATATTCTCACATATATTCATAATTAAGCATCAAATTATTTTCTGTCTCCTTATTCCAAATATGTTCCAAATGGCTGGCTGTTTTTTCTTCTCTTGAGATAGTTGCTTCCTGTTCAGAGTTTGTGTCTGGAAAATGAAAAAAAATATTAGTGTACTAATTATTTATGATTTAGCTGTCCGCATGCATAACAAAATATCTGAAAGAGAAGCTTTAAACTGCACTGACAAGTAAAGGGCAGAACTATTCCTTTGCTCTGGTGTGCACTGCAGAGGATGCTGAGTGGGCCCCAGAACTGTTTTGGTCGTAATGGTGAAGACAAAAATCCCATTACACATTCAAATACGTACATGTGCACATATGTATGTGTACCCATGTAAATGCACAGGCACACAAAATATTATTTTTTAAGTTAAATATCAACCATTGTTGAAAACAGACAAATTAATATTTAAACCATTTTTAAATCAATTTAATCATGTGTGTGTTGGAATGAATTATTTTTGTATTTTCCTCAAACTGCTTATGTTAGATTGCGATGAGCATGCCCCATGAAATCATAAGTATTTGTGTCTGTTTTATTTATTTAACAACGCTTACAGTTGCTTAGATTGTGTAGTGTCAAACAATAGGATGATTAGTGAATAGTGAGTTTGAAATGATGCAGATGGCTGTGGCCTTAATGAGGTCGTGGTCTAATTTAAGGTACTATCCCAGCTTTTGCCTCAAGGGGCTGAGGAAAACCACAAAAACCTACCAGTAAAATTGGCTTCCAAATGCGTACAGAACTGGATTGGTAACCACTCAGCCATGATGTACAGTGCTTTACTATCTAGACAATTTAACTTTTAAATAATCCTTGTGAAAACTTGTTACCATTAATAAAAGAGCCAAGTCCCACATTCTTCATTCTTCCTGGGGGAAACACAAAAATATTAGTTTACAATTAAGCTTGTTTTGCTCAGTATTAATAAATTGATCTTCTCACCGTATTATTTGGCTGCACATGAAGAGTACTGTCATTTGTTGCCAGTGTTTGGGCTCTGCCGGCAGCTTCGTTACAATCTTTTACGATCTTTTAAAACAAGAACACGGGCATAAGTGATGTATACAGTAAGTGAACAGAATAGACTACAGATTCTTATTACACTGAACTCTGCTAATGAATAGAGTTCCAGTACATAAATCTTGACATGTTAATATTTTTATTTATATTATGTAGATTAATCAGTTAATTAATTCACTCATTCATTATTCACTTGTTCGCACACATACAAATTTTAGAGTGAAACAATTTTGTCAGAATTGGCATCTAACAATGTTTGCACCGGGTTTTACTTCAAAATTTGAGAAAACTGACTCCTGCCTTCGAGTTGAGAACTTTTGCAGGCCCTCAGCTGTGGCTTCCGTTCACATTTTTTCTTGTTCTGATGTTTATGTGTGATCTGAGCAAGAGACTGCCTGGAGAAAAGCCAGGAGTGCAAATCACTGTTCCTCAAAGCATGCAGCAGGTGTATATGTGTGTAATATTCCTTACCTTCTGAAACTGAATGAGTACTTTGGACCAGACGCTGTGCTCGATGTGATCCGAAGAAAGACGTCTGAGTATTGCCTCCACCAATAGTGGTAGTCTTGTCACTCTCTGCATTGGCAGAATAAGGAATGTCTCTAGTAAGAACATCTGACAGACGGGGTCTGCTTGTAACTTTGACAGTGCGCTAGAAAATTTGGGGTTTGTTAACCTGTAAGCAGATGCATGCAATTCATTTGTCTGCCTTAGTAACCCATTTGCTCATCATTGTAACTCTATAATTTACCAGTGCCAGGGTAAATGACTGTAAGTCAAGATTGTTATTTTACAGCCTTTATTTCATGTTACCTGCAATTTAGCAAATTGTTCTTGTGAATTAGTGTTCAGTTTAGATTTTTTTAATGCCAACATAATTATGCCTAGGTTGTAGACCTTCGATCAAGATTAAATTCTTTGTCACAGCTCAGATGGAAGCCAGAAGTATAAAATTGCATCACATGCCATGTCTTTGCTGTCAGTGAAATCATTTAGTAAAATTTTTAGTTACAAGTGCAACCAATAACTCGCACGAATGTAGTATCCAAAAGAATTCCATCCCTGTGATAGCATAGTAAGTCATTGGAATAAAAATATACATTACTTGTAAAATAATTATGTTGCGACAGAAATACACTCACTTGAGATGTTGCAGTGTTTCATGTATGTATATCTGACTAGCGCAGCAGTTGACATAGTCTTGGAAATAACCAAGGTAAACAAATTTGGTAATTGTTTGACACAGGTAGCCTAGTTTCAGATCTTCCTGCCAGCCACGTAAAAGAACTTCCAGAAATTTCTTTGAGCATTGCTTCACTGCGGGAATTAAACAGAAAAAGTCAACTTATTAGAAAGCAAATAAAAAATCTAGATATGTGGTAGGATGACAGTAAACCGAAAAGGAAAGAACATTTATGTAACTGTGTTGGTCTTCTGGCTTTTAACGTGGTGCAACATTCCATAAGACATCTAGATTTTTAAGTTGATTAAAAATTGCAAATTGCCCATCACATATATTCTATGATGCTGGCAAAATCTTTCTTATTTTAACAAGTAATATCGTAATTTTATGGAATTTCAGTCTGTGGAAGGCTGAGACATACAACTGTTCTTCAAGTCATGGGGAAAATTGTGTGATGTGTGCTACCATCAGCATGTGAGGACCTCATTTTGGTGAGTGCTCTTTCTATGCAAGGGAAATGTAACACCAAGGGGCAGGGTTCTCTTTGAATACTTGTTAATAATCTAGCAAGGAAATGTTATGGATCAAAGATGTTCTTTACCATCACGAAAGGTCACTATTGAACCATATTCTGAACTAATCCAATTCACATATTCACATCCCAGTTTTAAGATATGTTTTAAAGTCATTCATCCATCTATATCTAGATCGTGCAAGTGATCTCCTCACTTGATGTTGTCCGGAGGAGGAAAACCTTAACATTCAGGCATATGAAAGAGTGAATTACGTCTTTGGGTTGAAACCATAATTTATGAGGTTTTGGCTTGCATACGGAAAACTGTTGAAGAATACAATCTGTAGACTTACATGTAAGCCCACTGTATCAGTTGAAATATGTCAAATCTAAACAGAGCCAACCAACTGCACTGCTGACGGCTTACTGTTAGGACAGAGCGATCATTGGTGGCACCTATGTCTGTGCAAAGATAAAATTAATAATTCTGCAGATATGCATACTTCAACCTACTATTTATGCGGAACAACAAACCTTTTTTAATGCTTGAGAATATAGTATTATAGTCTTTCTCTGGTAAGACTGATCTGTCCGTAAGTTCCTTGCTTGTTATGAACACAGTGTCTAGGATGAGAAGAGACTTATAGTACGATGCTTCAGATGTGATTATCTCATACTTTGCTTCATGTAGAGCTATCTGGTTGGCATCCAACTTGTCTGTAAACCAGAATTCACAGTCAGAGGTCAAGAAAATGTGACGAAGAAGGAGGGGTAATCACATCTTCTTCAGTGTGATACTTTGTAGTCATGTAAACAGTTATAAATGTTTCAGAAGAACACGCAGACTTCATCTTCATGGTACAAGTAAGAAAATGAAGATGGAAGGAGAATGTTCCTTTGTATCATTGGTAACCACTTACAAGACTACATGGCATCGCAGCCAAGACCACGATCAATATATTTTCTGCCTTGGGAACCTCGTGCCGCAGAAAATCAAATGATCGTCTTTGAAATTTACGAAGAGAAGCTAAACTTTACTCAAATTCGTTTTCAAACCATCATTGTCTATTTAAAACTCTTGATCAGAAAAGTGTATGAACAGTTGTGGTGTCAAATTAGCCTGCAATTTCATGCTAGTGTAACAAGACAGACGTGAATTTAGAAGAAAATGAGCCCACTGTATATAATCCAGCAGTAACGCTGGAGATATATTCACTCACCTAGCAAACCAGAGTCGATAACTTCTTTGATATCAACCCAGAGCCCACGTTGACTGCTGCCAGAAGGTCTTTTCATTTCCATGTCGGCAACTGAAACTTCTGTTTCGTTGCGTTGTGTTTTGGGTTTCAGGCAAAAATTAATTTCCTCGTATATGTGTTCTGTTTCTGTGTAGATGTTTTCTTCTACTTTAGCGTTTGAATGTTTTACCTTAAGTAGAAAAAAATATTAATGAGCTCTCTTATCAGATTAACCAATAAGCTTTGAGAACAGTCCCTTCCTCTCACCATCGGCGGTCAAGTTATAAAAGTAAAGTTACAGATGAGCTTTGTTATTTGTGACCTAGTTGCAGCTGACCTTGTACAAAGAGTTCAGGGCAAGATCATAATATAATTATGGCTATAAAATTATTTTAAAATACGTCAGATTGTAAATATTTGGAGACAATGATTAAAAATCAAAGTTACATTTATGGAAAAATTAAGAGCAGATTAAATTCAAGAAATGCTTGCTACCATGCAGATCGGAATATTTTGTCTCCCCGTCTTTTATCTAAAAACAGAAATATTAGAATATACAAAACTATAATTTTACATGTTGCTTTGTATGGGTGTGAAACTTCATCTTTCGCCCTTAATGAAAGAACAAAGATTGATGGTGTTTGGGAACTGGGTGCTGAGAAGAATATTGGGATTTAAGATGGATGAAGTGACAGCAGGACAGACAGAATTACATATCATAATCATCATTGCTTTGCCTATTAAGGTGCATTAGGATTAGATGCTGTTGTTTGTCAAAGGCAAGCAATCTGTCTGCTTTTATCAAACCAAAGACTGATATTATGGCGTACTGTTCGCGCGATGGAACAGTTTTGTAAGCAACACACAGGGAACTTTTGCACATAGCAGAACTGCTGTATGCATAATGATGAATAAGAGTAGAAAAAGTTCAAGACTTACTGTTCCAAAATTGTATGCCTGGTACAATGGGACGTTTTTGTAGTGTCGAAGTACACCGCTGTCTGAAATATTCACATTGTACTTCCACAGACATGGATCGCATTCTTCATACACATTTTCACAGATTCCTGAATCCGTATTGATTCCCTTGTCATATTCTGTTATGCTTTCACCACTTTCTTCTGCGTTTAATGATTCGTTCATTGGCTTACAGTCATTGTATATTTCATATATTTTAACACATTCTTTCTGTAAAAGAAGCTGTGGGTTGCATGTTGTATTTGGATAACCAAGGTAATACGAACTGATAAAAATTTGTTGTTCAGGCTTTTGTGGTTCTTCAATATTATAAGACTCCTTTCCTGCAACTTCTTCATTGTGTGAAATTTCTTTGGTCATGGAACTTAGCATATCACTTGATTGTCTGACATGTTCATAAACTTGCTTGCTGTCAAAAGGAATGTGATCAGAACACTTTTCTTCTTCATTTGGAGGGGCATGCTGCTGAATTTCTTTTTGTACTTCGTATGTGGATGTTTCACTTCCTGTGTGGAATCCATTTGTACTGAGTTCATCCAAAGTGTGAGCCTTATCTGTTGTGCACTTTACTGTAAGTGGAAGGAGAGTTGTGGAAATAGACACATTTGATTCAGATTGTTTCTGGCAGCCATTATCTTGTAACACTGATGAAGGAAGAATGTGCTCTTCCATAGTAGATGACTGAAGATTGTTAGAAATATTAAAATTTCCCACTTTCTGCTTGTCACGTATTGAGGACTCTCCAATGGCGTCTTTGGCACAAGACAGTTCAGTTCCTGATGTTGTTAGATTTCTGGAAAAGTTATGTGTACACAAATGACTAGACATTATACTGTTTACAGATGAGACACCTGAGAGTTTGGAGACGTTACAGGAGATTGAAATGTCAAGTTTGTTTTGCAGCCTGGCTGTATGTTTCTTGCTCCTCTCATTTTCAATTGACCTATAATATGTTTGATAGGGAGAGGAACTTGTTTCTCTGTCTTTCACTGTGGTATTTGGAATAATATTTGTAAACTCAGAGACCGGAATTTTTGACTTCGTAGGATAACTGTTTCTTTTACAAAGAATATTTGCTTCTCCTACTTCAAATACTGTACGCCTTTCACTGATAATTTGACTAGATCTGAGATTGAGAGGAGTGTCAGTCACTTTCCTTTTACAATCTTGGAGGGGTTTCTGTCTCTTGAAAGTCACGTTATCTTTACGTTTCACGGTGTCTTTGCTATAGCTTTCTACACTTTTAAGATCGAAGAACTTGCATCGTTCTCTCACTGTTGAGAACCTGTTTTGATTCACTTCTTGCACTGTACATAATTCTGAACACTTTGAATCTGTATCATGTACTGAAACACTTGACTGTTTACTGCGAAATGTAGCGGCATCTGTCACAATGTTTTCTTGATGTTTTGGGACGTTGCTTTGTGCTGGCTCTGATTCAAAGCTGTGCAGACTTTCATCTACTATCCTGTCTATTTCTTTAATGTATTTTGAACCGTGCAGTGTTCTAAGAGCTTTGTAGCACTCGTCCAAGAGCTGAAAGAGATTGACAGAAAGAAAATTTTGTAATTCTGGCTGGAAGCAAATTTGAAGGGGATGCATGACTGTACTTCAGTGTGGTCACTCACTGAGTCGATCGCAAGTGTCACTTCCGGGCTCCTGGCGTGAACTACTAAATGAAAGGCAATACTTGACTCGTATTGGGAAATATTGTAGTGCTTTGTGGTGAGTCTTGCAGTTCCAGTTGGGAGCCGGGAAGTGAGAGTTGCATTCAACTTTATTGATAAGTGCACAGTATAATAACACCAGGCTTCAGACATATTCTTAAAACCTGTGGAATCAATTTTCTGTGGTATTTTGTTGTCTCTACACACAGATTTAAGGAATTGCACAATTATTTTTAACAAAAATACATTTGATACATTATTAAATGTTATATGTGTTTAATGGCATATTCCTTGTTATTAATTTGCAGTCCCTACTTGATTACTTGTTCGTAATTTATTTAGTGATTACAATGCACTTTGAAGTGCTGCAATAATTGATATTAACCAGAATCTTAGACGTTCTCTGTCCAGTATTATTGTACTTCTTAACGTTATTGACTCCATGAAGCTGGGGTTTACATGTAGAATGGGAAAGGTATCTCGAAATGAAGCTGCCAAGTGCCGGCAAATTTAGACAACTGGCACCAGAACTGAAAACAGCTGCCACATACTGACCTTTGTTATGTCTGATAATATTCTCTTGCAGTGAAAGATGTCTAAGCGATTAGTGGTAGACGTGAGCTTCGAATGGATGTCTTGGAACAGTAGGTGATATAACTTGAGATGCTGAAGTGGTAACATGACACGTTCAATGTTCAGCCGATTGCTGAACGAAGCTACTGCTACCTCGTATTTGCTTCTCCTGCAGTAAATTTAGTAACATTAATAAATTAAAACCTAAATGGATTGTCAAACCTCTAAACTTGAAACAATTCTATAATTTATTTTATTGACATATATATAATCTCCATATAGGTATGTGTATACAGTGTATGTTGGTTATCTGATGAATTTAACACAGTTTTTTTTTTTTTTTTTTTTTATACTGGAACTGCATTTCACCAGAGAAATGTGATTATATATAGTTTGGAAGCATCTGTCTGTCATGATTTTAGGTACTTCTGTTGAGAATTAAGGTCTGAATGATAGTTTTATTTGTGAGTCTTTCGAGGTTAGATTGGCATAATTACGCGGTGATACTTACTTGGCGGTGCACAGGGTTACGCGGAGGTCCTCCTGTTGGGTGCAGTAGGTGATATAATTCTGGAACTGGAGTGACATATCTGTGAATGTCTTGTTCAGTATTGTCAAGTTCACTACTGGTTTCATATTCCATTGTTTCTCGAAGGCGTTCAAGAATGCATCAGAGCTTCGTTTTACTACCAAACAAATGTAGAACAGAATTGTACATTTTATAGCGATACGAGGCTCAATAATTGTATTACGTACATAATAAGGAACTGTGGAGACTTCTGTGATACATGGCGGTTTAAACTTGACGGGAACTTTGATATCATCATGTCAGTAAATCATCTTATCTGTTTTACACTGTGCTGTACTTTCTAGTTACTCTCTTCCTACATTTACACACTTGCCCTATTCCACGAAATTATTGATGCAAAAATGACACTCATCCAGTTGTTAATGAATTTTAATTGTCAGGCACATTTTTTTTTCATCGTTGTGTTGCAAAAGGAAAGAAGATAAAACCAAAATAGAATTAAATATAAGACCCTTAATATGAAGTCAGTATTACTGTTTGTATGTTAAATTTATGATGACTGAATGACCCAGTCACTTTTGTGGGAGGAGGGTTTGATTCTTGGCAGGAGCGGGGATTTCTGTCTTTGCCTCTTCATCGAATCCAGCTCTGGCACTGGGGGTCTTTCTCTGAGAGTAAAGTGACTTGGTCATGATTCTCACTTCTGTCTGTTGTTGAGGTTAGAATGTGTGGAGCTAAAACCTCTGCTTCTTCGTATCATTTCATGGCAGGGAGCATAACTAAGCACAATTTCTGTTCTGTTTCTTACCACTTCCCATCACATGTGTTTTTCAAAAGAAAGTCTTGCTTAATTTGGAGCTGACCTGAACCCATTCTGAAATTTTTATGATTATAATGCTTATTTCATCTACTCATGAGGACACTTAATCTGATTGTAATGTACAAATGTACGATGAACTGCTGGCGTACCTCTTTCTACTGATGATGCTATTGTTCGCCTGTTGAATGTTGGCAAGGGATCTGCCCAACTGACTGATCTTTTGGACAAGTTGAGAAGTTCAGTGAGTTCAGTGTTGTATGCAACTTCACACGTGATCAAGCAGAATTTCAGTTCCTCCAGTTCTATTTGTGTTTCAGTCAACATCTCTGAAGTGATACGTTAAAGAAAATGATAAGTAATTTTTGAAGGAAATTCTGCAGGACTTGTAAACTATACAGCCTATATCAGACAGTGGAAAAAATTGTATTTAAAAAAATGTTAAAAATTCATATTAAGCAACGTATAATGATACAACACCACAGGTTACGTGGATTTTGGAAACTGATTCCTCCTGTCTTATAAACTGTAGTGTCATCTGACAGCGATTCCAGTGAAATATGCTTGAAGATGGCTGCCTTCTTGGGTGTTGCATCATGTAGTCTGGTAGATATTGACTGACAATTCAGAGGAGTTTACTGCCTCTGTCATCACCAGAAAACAGTCATCTTCAATGTGAGACTGTGAACTTACGCAGCAATCCACTGGATTTGACTTCTGGTAATGATTTCCACGAGGCGTGGACTCCATTGCCCATGAGTCTCTTGATGCGTTCCCGGAGCAACATGCTAGTTTCAGGGGCAGCACCTCCTTCCATATGCACATTCCCACTCGTCGAGTTCATATTGCCATTCTGTGAAAATATGCATAGTTTTAGTATGAAACTGAAGGCCATGGAAACCTGAAAATCTAATATTAATATTTTATGGCTTTGTATTGAAGTATTACATTCTGTGTGGTACCCAGTATTTACTTTATTTCTGCTCAGCAGGTTATTAACCACACAGGTGTTAAATTATTGGCTGGCAGCTTATATCAGTGTCATCTGAAGGCCATTTATCCAGATGCCTGACTGAATTCATTCACGTGTGCCAGTTTCTTTCCTAAAATGGAATCATTAAGTTGTTATGGCACATCTTAGGGAGATAGGTTGTGAACTTTTGTATTGACAGCATTGGAACCTCCTATTCTGCTACCAGATGTTGGTTAGTTGCCTTTTTGCTTATATGTGTACAGCAAGAGTCTGATAACAGGATAAATGCATGCTGTGATGCTTGAATAAGATAAAGTTAGGTGAGATACCAGGTTATCACCGTTATCTTCTGGGTCGTTTTGCCATATAGTCCCTCAAAAGGTGCTGCTGCCTTTGCACGACCTAGCCCTAACGACGAACTCATCTTAACATGAGTCCGGCCATTCAGAGATATGCATGAAAGGAAGATGACCTTGAAATAACCTTGAAAATTAAAAAGGCTTCATTCGGCAAACCCTTGGGCTGATTTTGTCGTGACCTCTACATGACCTTGATGTTACCGTGACCTCAGCGTGACATGAGTTTGGCCATTCAGATACCTACAGTTCGTCATAAATATGACTCGTCCCGAAACGTCCATTAGTTTCTACCAGACTGCATGCTGCTTCGGCGATCTTCAAGACTAAGTTAATCGTCGGCGAGCTGATCCATTCGTTCTTAAATTTTAGGGTAAAGCCGGATGCAGCCGGTCTTAAATGTCGAGCGAAGCGGAGCGAAACACTTGCTCAATGTTGTCCTTCGAAGCCCGAATCTCATCCATATATTTAAAAATTTAAAATTTCTTTCCTCAAAGAAAACAAAACGCGTCTCCATGACATTTGCCCTACGTCGTGGTTTAGAGAGAGTGTGTGACGGAATTGGCCTGGGGTCTGAGGCGATTTGTGTGTGCGTTTGATACAACTGCAGCGCGGCGCTGGGGCGTCGTACACAGCAAAGAAGAGAGAAATTTGATTCATTTGTCATATTTATTAACACAGACGAACATTTCACCATATTCGGCACCAAACTATATTTTTTTTTCTTTGTTTTATTTGCTTTAATTGGTTTCTGCGTGTCTTACGGTTTTTATAGACAGCAACTGACAGATTTTCGTGAAATTCTACATCAGAGTCATGACACTGGACGTCGTTTTAAATCTTGTCATCAGGATATTCAGTATGGCGGACATTGTGTTTTATATTCAGATATTAATCTATCTCCATGGAGAAGCTAATGGCCACTCATTTAGTGGGAGAAATTACACGTATTTTATGGAAACCGATGGTTCATTAGTGTTCATCCTCTTCAGAAAATTTAATCGAAGGACACAAAATTTGTGTCTTGCATAATGACTAATTGCTCTTAAAACCTGCCTGTGTAATGGGTCGGTACTTTATCGCAGACAAGTTTTGGACTCGGCGTCTGTGCAGTAGCGAAGGCCGAGGGCCTGAAAATGCTAACAATCAAAGAGGCCACGGAACGAAGTACGAAAAACGATAGGAGAATTTCCTGTTTGGATTTCAGTGACTTATGAGCCTCAGGTGAAACCCTGGAAACACGGTTGCCATACGCGAAAGAGAAACCAGCTCTACGGAGATTAATTTCTTCAGTGGCTTGTGGTACTTCTGGAAAACGCGATTTTTTTTCGGTTACTGGCGATTGGAGGGGAAATTAGCAATGGCGGAGAAGTATGCCCCACTTCAGCGCACTTTCCAGACGCCCTCTGATTTTGCACCTGCGTTCTTGTTAATTTATTACGGTGCAAATATCTTGTGAGGTTTCAGGTTCTCAGGGCATCAACTGTGAAGACGGCTGTCTTCTGGGTGGGTGCGCCTTGTAGTCTGGTAGGAGTCTACCGACGTTTCGGAGGTGCTTGCAGCCTCCAACATCAGGTCGATGACTCGTCGCCCTAACAGACCACACGGTTCAACATCCCACAAGACAGCCGTATTCAAACAGTCAGCAGCAGAGATGCGACACCGCGGTCATCACTCTCGTTGTTGAAGGTGACGAAATGCTGACACCGACCTAGGACGGGTCAGTCAGTTTTGTAACTAGGCTGGGGAACCGGAGTTTCGACTCCCAGCTAGGAATCTCCTAGCTACCAAGTCCAGTTCGGCTGTGTAGCCCCCACAGTCTCCTGTCTAATACGTACCGAGGTTAAAACGGACGGAGCGTGAGGATGAGAACTCACCTCCATTATCCTCCCATCTACGCCTGTTCTCCAAAGTGGTCTCTCTCTCTTTTAGGGTTCCCATTCAAAATTGTGTATACATTTCCATTTCCTCGAGTGTACTGTGTGTTTCGTCCATGTCACTGTCGATGACTTCGTAGCCTTCAACAGTTTTTGTTTGTTTGTTTATTTATTCACCTCGGCACCCTTTCTAAAACACCCTCAGTCCACGTTCACACCCGCACAAAACTATTTATTAATGCTCGTAACGCCGTTGTGGGACAACGCGACCGGTTCGACGTCAGGCGAACGCACGTAAAAGCACAGAACATTGCAGCGACGAAGGAACTCGGGCACTGGAATCTTGAGGTCACAAAGAAAAACTATAGAACACGCAGCGAGGATTATTCCTGGGCGTGGAGACCAGCGGTGAGTCTCTCTGAACTAAGAGCTGTAGTTCCCTGTCGTCATTTTCGTGACGTCGTGCTCCGCCGACCTGTTATCTGCCATTGCACGTGACACTACGCCACCTTCACGTCGACGAAAATGTGTTTAATGACACGTATTAACACGAGACACTCGGCGACACTGAGCAGGCTGACGTACTCCACTTTGGAGTACAGACAGTTCCCTCTCCAATCTCGTGTTTGGTTTAACTTTTCCGGGGGTTTAAAAAATCGTTGTCTTTCGCGCTGGGTGTAAGGTAATTTTTTTTTGAGCCGTGACTTCTGGACCAGCCGGCAGGGAATATTTCAGAGTTATTTAATGTGCGTGTTTAATAAATTTCGTAAGCGATTAGCACGCGTTACTCTTAATTAGCGCTGGAATAAACCAGCCGTGACTTCCTCATTCTGGTCGTTGGTTTCTGGTTTTGAAAGCGAAAGTGTGTTATCTCGCAATCTTCCTTTTGTTTGCTGCTGGTGTATTATCTTGTGTTGATAAGGCTTGTAAATAACAAATATGTATTTTTATGCTCTAAACCATTTGTGGATGCCTACAAACCGCAAGACGGAAAGAATTTGTGTTATTCTTGGAAATCGCCTGTTAACACAGAAACAGTGTTGCACCGCTTAAAGACGAAGTTTAACTGCGTGCTTATGTTGTGTCGCTTACAGATTTGTTACAGGGTGATCCATTTTTTTTAAAAAAGTTTGCTGTCACATTTCAGCTGCGTGTCAGCAGGAGTTTTAATGACCTCGATATCCGTGAAGGATCTATGAGATAAGCCATGCCGATGAGCAGACATGATCTCACTATCTTGCTTTCATTTCATACACATATACGGATCGAACGTGACTGAATGTTGTCGAATTACGTGTGAGTGGTTGGGAGAGGTTAGGTTAGGTTAGGTTAGGTTAGATTAGGTTGTAAGTGATTTTGGCCTGCTTTCCTTCTTTGGCAAGGAAAGGAATGAGCCTTTGTTTGTTTGTTTTTGGTGGTGGGAAATCGGTTCAACTTTGTGTGACGTCACATCTTAGTCGATTTAGAAAACTGTGATCAACTCCATCCAGTTCTGTTTTCGAAGCTGAGATTCGCTCAGTCGATCGAAAGATTCTTGCTTTTTATGAAACGCACAAAATGCGGTCACCGGATCATATCCTGAGCCAGTTTAACCCACTCCACACCCTCATATCATGTTTAAATTCTATTTTAAGTAGCAAATATTTTCAGTTCAGCTGATAAGATGGCTGTTGGAAGAATCTGGCATTGTGATGGACCATATGTAAAGATAAACAAAAGAAGGCTTGGAATATCGGAGATTTTTAAAGTGTGGCTGAGACGAGTGATAAAGTTTTTGAGATGACTGTACACGTTGACTGTGGCTCGATAAATAAAAGTTCTTAATGTCCCAGGTATCAGATAACGATATCAAAAGGTGTCACTTCGTGCGTAGGTAACTGCGCAGCCAGCATCTACGCAATGCGTGAGGCGCTTAGCGTCAGTACTGGAAAAAACACAAACCGCTTGCAAGTTGTGTTTGTGTGTCTCCGTGTTCTCACAGCGCAGTTTCTGGAATATTCTGTTTTCTGAGGGAGTACATACAAATGACGTCTCATGCCAAACAAACGGCTGTTAACATTTGAGATGTATTTCTTTTTTCAGAATGAGCTTAGCCATAATCCCTCGTATATTTCTGACGAAACAATCAGGCGCTTGTATCAACAACAACAACTGTCTCGTAGTTCGTATTCTGTGCATTCTTATTGCAGTTTTAATTTTAAATTCTTCAGTCCTATTCATATAAACAGGCCTCTGGAATGTGCGCTGTTCCTTGTAAGATCCTAACATTTAAAAATATTCGTGTAATGTAATACTGTGCTCTTGGTACTGAGGAAACCATCTTCAAGTCGTACTCTCATTCAACCGCGTCCCTTTAAACAGCCGTGTGGTTGATCCACAGACCGAGTGCGCTTCGTGGTGGAATAAAAATAAAAGTCTAAAACAGGGGTGGCCAACCCAAATGATCTTTCCGGCCATTTTGGAAATGCATCATAACTCCGCGGGCCACATATAAAATTATATATCCCCAAATTTTCACTTGAAACTGAGAGTCTGCTCTGCTCTGCTATCAACAATCAACTGTGCGTATCTAGGTATGGTCACTGCGTCACTGAGGGCACTTAAGAGTGAAACATAAAACCTGTTATATTAGATGTTCCAAGATGCACGCGCATCATGAGTTCGCAGAATATAGTTTAATTATTCTGCGAACTCATAACTGTAAACTCATGAATAAAACAGGCAATATCTGTCATATATTCGCAAGAATATTATTTTAAAATCAAAGTTAATTTTTTCTCATAATTTCGACAGATAATTTTTGAATATATGGATGCACAAATAATGTATTTTTTTAATACATTGGTTTTCACTACTTTGGCCATTATAAAATAAATATATTTTGTAAAAGTGTGATGAATCTCGCGGGCCGGAAAAATGTTCAAGGCGGGTCACATGCGGCCCGCGGGCCGCGGGTTGGCCACCCCTGGTCTAAAATATGAGATTCTGAAACTCTGGAGTCTGATTACAATTACTTCGGCCTAAAATAAGTAAACAGAAATAATTGTGAGCTGTTTCACGGACTGACGTTTATAACAGATGAAAGTCATTTTGTTTTTAACATTGCTTCACAATATTACAATTTCATTCTTATCTACACTTAATGCCTTATAATACGTGAATAGTAAACTAAGTGAAGTTGATGGATGTTTCTGTGCAGTGCATGTGACATGATGTTTGCATTAATTTTAAGTAGAAACACTGGGAAGAGTGGATGGAGCTGGCTCAGGAGCGGGGCCGATGGGTATTGGACCTGCGGGTTCTGCTATCAAGGAGTTTGTTTGTTGTTAGTTTCAGAAACACTGGGAGGGAGGACAAGGCACGTGCTACAGTAATAATTACTTTTAGAATTGTCACTTACAAAGATACGATTGTTAATATCTTTATGTTTAGTTCATACGAACAGACTGTGATATGTGAAATGTGTTACACCCAGCGTGGTTGGTAAGGGAATCAGTTCGCTATTTAATACATGTAAGTACAGCAGAACACTGAAGAGGATCCAGTCAGGCGGCGTCTGTGTAGAATTTTTGGCTGACGGGGGGGGGGGCAAAAAAAAGTGTCGAGGAAGTGTCTCACACCGAGACACAAAATGTGTCTTTGTGATTTCTGCCTCGGCATTTCTACTAGAAACTTATTTCCGAAACTCTGATGCTTTGCGCCTAAGTCCCCCGCTGTCAGGCCAGCAAGAGATGGCAACATCTCACGAGTTTTTCGGACATTCTTATTTTCAGAAACAGAGTTTACGGCTGTGTGTATTTATTTACACTTAAATGTTCTTGTATAACATTTCATTAGGTGTTTTGATACTTCGGAATATTTCCCACATAAGCAATAAGGTATACAACACAAACGCCACCTTTGCGAGTCCTGAATTAACTAAAATATTAGCAATGGCACGAGGATGCATATCACCATATAATTAGAATATATGTTTGTAAAATTGTACATGAATTATTCATTAATCATAGATTAAAAATAGTCCAACAGTGATGACGTAGTTCTTGTGGGTTATGCTGCCGTGCAGATTCGTAAGTAGATGCCTACGTTTCGGAGAAAGGTAACCGCCCTGAAGATGGACACAATATTTTTCTCCGAAACGTTAGTATCTGTCTGCGAATCTGCACGGCGTCAGAACCCACAAGAACGTCGGATCTCATAGAGTCCCAGGGGAGTCCTGGAATCGGTTTCCGCTGTCAGCTTCCGGCAGGGAGAACAATTCAGAAGCCCCTTGTTTGTCGATCCAGCAACGAATGTCCCACGCACGATCTCTCAGACATTCTTTTCAAATCATCCAACATGTCATGCTACAAGAACTCTGCACAACAAACATTAGAAACCAACCAATGTGTCTTGATATATGGACACATTGATTTGTTATTCTTGAAGGTACGTAAGCACGTGGTATGTTTTAGGGTCCATCACCATTGTCCATTTTGCTGAAGGAATTGTCTTATCTTTATATTAGTAATGAAGCATTATCATGAAACACGGATTATACATGCGCCACACTTCTGTTGTGCCATTCCGTGCTAAGCCACGCCTCGTGTTCGATATCACCAAATTCCTTCGTACGAATTACATATTTAATCATATCGGCAAATGTCCACCTTGAATTCCATAAGCGTCAGGATTCCGGAAATTAATAAATGATTATCGATGAACGTCGGGGTTCTGACGCCGTGTAGACTTGTAGGTACGCTCATGAGTTTCCCCACAAGAGTTCCCTTCATCGCCAGCCCTTGGTTTTACAAGTCTAGATGGCGCCAGAGCCCAGAAAAACGACTTCTACATCCTCATCGCCTCGAGAACCTCAGATTCAGATCAAGAATTACTAAGAATGAGCGCCATTTTAATAATTAGGAGTTTAATTAATGAAGATTTTCATTATGTAGCTGTAAGTTTCTCTTAGATCCAAATTTACCTTAAGCACGTTCAACCCATGTTCTTCTGTCGGGATGCTTTTTAATATTATACTTGGTTAGATATTTTGAAATCAGGCTGTCGTGATATGCAGCGTTCTTGCACTCTCAAATATCTGTTTTGCTTGTGTATTCGCAAATCCTTTCTTAAATTAATTTATTACGAGATATATTATTAAGAGTTTGTGGACTTGTGTGTTATTCTACTTAAGACACGTCACAAAAGTGTAAAGTAACTTCTCGCATTGAACGTCTGTTGTGCATTCGAATGAGAAACTTGTGTCGGCATTTGGTTTTAGTAGCAGAGTTTCAGAACAGTCATTTCGAGACAAATCAGACGATATGACAGGTTTTAGTGAACGATACGATACTTTGTGCCCCTCTAGTAGTCGCCCAGGCAATGAGGTAGCTCACTTTGAAAGTTCTGCGATAGTTATCGATTAATCACACCATACATGACGACCGCTGTACCTCACATGGGTATCTGCAAACTGTTGTTACGTTTATATCAGTAAACAAGATATGAAGGTGAATTTTTTTTAAAACTATGAAATGCTGATTTGTCACTTTGTGTTTAGAATAAGACTTGTTACAGTTGACACTGCAAAGCTGTACCAAGTGCGAAACTTTGCTAGTGACGTGTTCCGTTCGTGTTCGTATTTACCACACAGAACACTTGTGCTGAGGGTTCATAGGCGACCCCGAAGGGCAGCTGAAAGCTGCCGCGAAGTCCCACGAGTTGGACAGTGGTCCCAGGACTCTGATGGGACCGGGGGAATGCACTGATGACCTTATTTTGGTGAGAGCGTCTTCTGGCCTCATAGAACCGCACCAGATCTGAGCGTAGTTGAGGAAGAAAAGTTGATCGTGGGTGAGGTTTATCCCAGGCAGTCCCGGCTCCTCCCCGTGCTTCTCCACCCACTTCTTGTAAGCCTGGATTAAAAATAATAACAAAATAAAATAATTGTCGTTCGGTGAAATAATTTGGGTTGTAGGCGTATTCGCAACTAAGAGCCGCAGAAATTCGAGTGTTAGTCTCGCGACGCCTTTCTGCCGATCTGTCCACGTGTCCGCGTTTAACAACTCGAAAAAAAGAAAGGCTGAAAGGATTTTAATGAAATTTGGCACTGTTCGGATTTAGTAAAAGTTGTTCGAAGCATTTAAATTGAAATAATTTCGTCTGTGAGCTGCCGGGATGTTAGGATTTCCCGCTCCTTGCCCGAGAGGTCCCGGATTCAGATCTGACCCCCTGAGACCGGGGATCCTGACAAGTTTTTCGTGGCTTTCCTCAGTCCGTCCAGGGAAAAGGCCGGGACAGGACAAAAAATTAATTCACTACCGCGTCCTTTCATATTATTTGATATTCATTATTCATTGATCGCCCTGTCAATAGACGTTCTACGATGTGGGCCACTGAAGGCGTTGTTAAAAATGATAAATGAATATATATGGTAGAGTGACGTAGAATGAACGGACTCAGATGAGAGGAAGTTGATATTAAAGAGAATCATCGAGAAATAGGTTGTGGAAAGCTGAAATGGACGGGCTTTTGTGACATAGGTAATGAACTGAAGACGGCTGCCTTGTGGAATGACCGACGTTTCAGAGGAGCTTACTACCTCGTGGTGGGAGGAGCAGGCGCTTACCCTGAAGGACTGTTTCAGCCCCCCGTTGTCGGCAATGTTCTCGCCCTGAGTCATGCGCCCGTTCACGTACAGATCCACCTCGTCGAGCTTGTACTTGGAATACTGGTCGATGATGCACTGCGCCCGATGCCTGAACGCGCGGACCGTCGCGTTGTTCCACCACTGCATCATGTTCCCGTCCTTGTCGAACTGCCGCCCTGTCACAGATGCAGAAACGTGTCGTCACATCGAGCGCCATCTTACCTGTGTCGGGGCGAGGGGGTACAGGGGCCCAGAAATGTGCCTCGGACCCCTTCCGCCTCAGCTTTTCACACTCCCTTTCGATACCGCGTAGCGATGCAGTTGATATAGCGTCTTTAAAGCAGGTGGCGCGTGTAATTGCCACTCGGAGTTCAAGGGTTAATTGTTCAGTCCGTACCGCGAAGAAAACACTAAACTTCACCATTACTAAGGTCAACTGGTTAACGCTGTTTAAGGAAATAATCGCTGGTTACAGTGGGAATCATAGTTCGTCTGATTAATATTTAAAAAATTAGTCCGTACCGCGAAGAGAAAACAACTCTTCACCATTACAGAGCTCAACTGGTTAACGCTATTTAAAGAAATGATCGCTCTTAACACTGAGAATCAATTAAAGTTTGTAAAACGCCTGTAGATGCGGCATCTTCTCCGACATGGCTGTGGAGCGAGTTGTCTAAACATTCAGGGTTGATAAGTCGCAAGTGCCTGAATAACACATAGAAATGCAGAGGACAGCGCTCAGTCTGTCAACGCTGTTCAAGGAAATAATCGCTTTTAATAATTTCTTTAAAAACTGCTTATTTTAATAAGTGATTAATGATTGTACGTAAGATTTATATCTCAGAAAGTTGTGTGTTTTAAGTGCATTGTAATCGAGTGTATCTCTGACGAAATACAGGGAAAACATCAAGTATGTTTAAATGCAGGCCTGCCAACAACAGATAAGCAACCGTGATACGTGGAAATAAACGGCAGTCGTGGGTGTAAGACTGCAAAGAATGCACTTGTAAGAAGAAGAGCTTGTCGCTCGTAGTTCGCTCACCTTTATCATCAAACCCGTGCGTAATCTCGTGACCAATCACCACGCCGATGCCACCATAGTTGAGAGACTTAGGGAAGTGTTGGCTGTAGAACAGGGGCTGAAGGATTCCGGCCGGAAAAACTGTGAACAAATTACAATGTTGCATGAAATTAGGCTTTTTTAAGTACAGGTGGTTTAGGAGGTCTCTATAAAGCAGATACGTAGTTGCAAGCCATCAACATGCAGAGATTGGCAACATGGTTATTTTTTGTCTAGGTTGGTAGCACGGATTTATGACAGTAGAAAGCACTTTCAAGATACAGGACGCAATTTACAGTATTTTTTTTAAATGTAAATGTAAGCAAATATTTGTCTACTGTATATGAACTTTTTGAACGTCCTGTACTTGAATTTAACAGATGATAGGAAACTGGAGATAAACTGCAGAGTAAATAGCTTCACAATATGTTATCTTCGCTGAAAAATGTCAGGGTGAGCAGATCAAGGAGGTGAGATGGGTGGGGCATGTAACACGCATGAGAATGTTGAGAGATGCAAAAATAAATCTGAATAGAACAGATAAGTTGGGACAATGCCGTTATTCGTTACAAAAACAGGGTGTGAAGGCGTTGATTGGATTCATTCGGCTCAGGTAAGGTCCACTGGCAGGCTGTTGTGAGCGCGGTAATGAACTTTGGAGTTCAGTGATTGTTGTGGGTCAAGGAGGACGGATCTCGACTCGATGCTCACCGATGTCGTTCTTGTTGGGGTTGTAGAAGGCATTGACGACCGCCGGCTCCGTTGACCACTTGTCCTTGTTGACGGGCTGCCGCAAGTTCTGCAGGTTGTGATACGCGTCGTAGCGCAGAACGTTCAGGATGTTTGCCAGAAACTCGTCTTCAGTCACGTTCAGCTGTTAAAGACAGTGGAGTTCGTGATAAATCCATGCGCTTATGGAATTCGTTAGTAGTCGGTTGCAAACAGGAAATGTGCAAAAATGTGAGCTCGGGGTTACAGTAGAACTAAGTTCTACTCGTATGGCAAAATACAGAAAACTATTATAAGGAGGGAAAAGTGTTTTAATTATTCTTACTTAGGACATGCCGTTAAAATTGTCAAAATTGAGAAGATAGGGCGATGTTCCCTTTTGAAGTCACAGGTCGCCAGTTGCTGTATTTTTTTTTCCTTTCTGGTTTCCTTCACTGCCTCTCCCCCTATTCCGGAAAGACCCCCCCCCCTTTCGCTGTCGTGTCAATGTGGCAACATCGCCGTGATCTAATACTTTTGATACCGGAAGGTTATTTGAGTTTCCTACAAGGTGCATTTAAATTTATCATGGTATTGAAATTCCCCCGAATATGTATGTAAATTTAACAGAAGATTTTTGGAATTTTCCAGAAGATATATTTAAATTGAACAGAAGGCTTATTCGAGCCGTTGCAAATTGGCCTCACCATCACGTACTCCTTGCTGAGCTCGTCTGGTTTCGTCAGCAGCTCCGGGTAGCCGATGCGCTCGTTCATGGCGTCGGCCTTTTCTTTCGCGACGGTGCGCGTCTCGTCGTCCATCCAGTCGTTGTCCGCCAGTAGCTCGTTGAACGCCTCCCTGATCGTGTGTATCATCTCGAGCGCCGTCTCCTGCCACATCACATTGTTTTCTCGTTACCTCTCGGGCCTTATTGATAATCTGATAGTCGCTCAGCTAGTCAAGAACTTTCCCTATTTTTATGGAACCGAAGTCCACCGGTTCCCATCCTGAGCCAGTTGAATTCAGCCCACAGCTACCCTATTTTCTTAAGACCAGTTTTAATATTATCCTCCTATCTGTTGTTAAATGAGAGTGGAGTTGCTGGCTCACACCCCCTTAACTACATGAAATGCCATCAGAACAAGTTTTTTGTTTCGACAGACTGTGTCTGGTAACCATTTATAGCACAGTGATAACTATTAATATATGTGCTTATGTGCGTTAACCAACTGATTTTTGTAATGGTATAGAATTGTGTTTTCTTTGCGGTACGATCTGAATTCGTAAATATTATTCAGACGACCTATGATCCTCACTGTAAACAGCGATTATTTCCTTAAACAGCGTTAACCAGTTGATCTTTGTAATGGGGAAGAGTTGTGTTTTCTTCGCGATACGGACTGAATTCTTAAATGCAATTTCGGTGGATTTCTGTAAACAGCGTAGTGAAAGTTAGGGCCGGGTAACTGATTCTTTACGAAGTGAACTGCTAGTGCACCCACCTTGCTGTCGTGGTTGAAGTTGTCCCGGATGAAGAGGGCCCCGACCGCCATCCCGAGTTTCTTATTCGTCCATTCGACGCACTGGCTCCAGCGGTTTCTCTCGCTGAGAATCCCCAGCAAAATCTTCCTGAACTCGACGCGTTTCTGCTGATACTCGTCTATCATATGAGGCATGATGGTCATCACAAGTCGCCACAGCACGTAGTTGTGAATCACCCTGTAGCATAACACCCATTTATGTTTCGTTTTCATCAAATATTGGCCTGACATTCCTCATCCAGACAATGGGATTGCGAGGGACAAAGTGTTCGGTGTTTCAGAGCGAAATATTTGATGAATACGACAAGACACACAAACAAACAAGTCGTCACTTACGAATGTTGGTATCATACTCCACGGAACAGAGTCCTTGAAGAGTCGATAGACGAATGTTTATTACCGTCCAATCCACATGCTCGAACTTTGTTTCCGTAAGACCCAAATTGGTCTTGTCCCCCATCTACACCTAGGATTTTCGATTGAACTCTTTACGTAAGGTTTTTTAACCGAAAGTTTTACGCACATGTCATCTGTCCATGCGTTTTGTATATGGTCAGTCCGAATTTTTACAGATTAGATGACCTCGTATCTCATATAGGACGACGTAAAATTGTAGTTTCAAACAGGAAATGGGAAAGCAGAATATTCTCAACTAATTGCTGGGAAGCATTAACAGATTTTAAAAGTCTTCTGACCTTGTTACTGTTTTCGAGTCTTTGCTGACGTTCTGGAATGCTTTAACTTTTTTCACGTTTTCGAAGATTCTGTAGCAGTAGTGATGATGATGATGATGATGATAATAATAATAATATTAAAATAATAAAAAGTAATAATAATAATAATAATAATAACTGCTGATCGTAACCTGCGGTCTGTCTTCTGGATGATGCGTCCCATCTCGATGAAGTACGGCATAGCATAGCTGACTACAGGCTCGCTGTGGTCAATGTCCGCGTCCAGGAACGCCGACAAGTATTCCAGCCAGTTCAGCTGCGGCACTTCCCGCTGAAGCTGCGCCAGACTCAACTTCCTGTAGATGGCACTAGTGTCATGACGATCTGCTTCCGGAAGCGAAGCCTGTACATCCGGTTGTACACAGTAAGAAGCCATGGAATATTTCATCTCTCAACTTAAATTCACCTACGAAACTAAGGAAACCAACGTCACCTAGCTCCAGCACCCACGAGCTGACTTACACGTTGATCCGTCAGTTCGCCTGTTCAGAGCCTGAGAACTAACTGATCAACGTATCGTTGCATGAACTGAACATGAATCAGACGACCCCAAGTACATGGACTTTCTAAATTCCATTTAAAAAAAACTTACCTACCGACTCGCATGACGATGAACGTCTTATGGGATGTTTCGTCGTGTAAGTCTCGTAGAAATTGACCGACGTTTCGGAGGTGATTTCTGCGTCCATCATCAGGGCGACTAGTCAGTCAATTTCCACGAGACTTACACGGGGCAACGTCCCAGAAGACTGTCGTCGTCATCCTCGCCTACGTGAGAACCAGAAGTCTCACGACGTTCGACAATTCGTCACCCAGTCTGATACCATGAATCCCCGAGCCTTCGCTCACTCACATTGGCGAGTTCCTTCTCGAAGAGGATCACTTGCAGGAGCTCGTCGGCCGCCTGAGTGCCGTTCGCCCCCAGGAGCTTCGCCACCTCGGTCATGTAGCGGTGATAAGCCTTCATATCGCCCTCGGAGTCGGCTTTGAGATAGTAGTCCCTGCTGGGTAGAGCCAGCTGCATCTGGTCCAGCTGAAACAGCCGTAGGCATCACTCATACTAGTGGGACATACCCGTTGAAATTCAACGGGGAACGATTTCTTTCGTATCTTTATCCCTTGCCTCCTTCCCGATATCACTTCATTGCCTCACGTCGCCGTTAAACTCGTTGTAACAAAGAAATAACGTAAACTGTTTTGGACCAAAGTGAGAGAGGTTTATTCTCAGGGGAAAGCGGCGTCTGGACGGAAGATATGGGAGACGGACGAGTGGCGAAATATCGGGAGGGAACAGGAAGTAACACACGTGAAGCTCCGTGTCTTCTTCTTACTTTGTCCGCACCTGGAGGATGTTCACTGACGAATTCTTGTCGTCAGGGCCGACCCACTGCTCGACGAGCACTCCCTCGTTGTATTGACCTCTCAGACGACCTAGTAACGTCTCGACGGAGAATTCTGGGGGCGTCCAGTTGGGCTGAGTGACCGGCCAACCTCCCAAGGACGCCAGGACCTCTCTCAGAGGAGTGTCCCCCAGCTTCCTGATCTGGGCTGCAAGAAAGACAGGAAGAGGACGAGGTCACGACGTCTGTCTTCAACTAGGAACGTCGAAGTTCGTACAACAGGGCAGGAGGGAGGAACGGGGCGTTATCGTATGTCCGCGAAGACGTCGTACCTTCGCCCTCCAGAGTAAACTTTTGTAGCAGAAAGAGGCGAAGAGAAACAAATGAATATAAAGTTTGTGCTGGAAAGTCTTGAGGGAAGAGCTAGGGGTAGGTTCTGGGATAATATTAAAGTGAATCTTAGAGAAATCGGATGGGAGGGTGTGCACTGCATTCTTTTGCATCGGGACCAGCGTTGGGTTCGTTTGAAGACGGTAATGTACCTTCGGGTTCCATTAAAGGGTAAGGGATTTCCTAACTAGCTGAGGGACTAAAATCTTTTATCCCAACCACTTCTCTTTTTTCCGCTTTCCCCCCCCCCCACTTTTCCCCTGATTCTGTGACTTCGTACGTCCGTTGTTAGTAGCGAGAGAATATTCTTGTTTCTTAATGCTGCTTAAAACATTAATATTTGAGAGATTGATGGTCTAGCCGGACAGAGAGCATACGTCACTGCTGTTCGCAAACATGGCTCAAATTTCTGAACAAGAAGTTCGATATGAAAATGTCCATAGTAAACACATTACAACTACACAGCTATCAATCAATTTTTGAGTAGGTCTAACCCAAAATTTACCCGTCCATTAGCCCTTTAAAGTGCAATGCTAACTGTATATACCTTCTGCTTTAACATTCGATAACTCTGCATTTCGCCCACAGAGTGTATTTGTGTGTTTCTTATCTATTCTCAGAATAAACAGCGATTATTCCCCTACATAACATAAACCAATTGATCGTTGTCATGGAGACGGGTATGTTCTCTTTGAGGTAGGAACTGAATTCATCAGGAGCTATAACACTGTCGACACGACTGCTAATCCAGGAACGCAATAAATTGCGAACCACGTGGCAAAGGACGCACAACGTCGCCCTTCGCCCCCGCATAAACGCCCTAAAACAACAAATAGACGCGGCCATAAAAAATCAGCTAAACGACACCTGGCAACATACGCTGCAAGGGCTAGACACCAGTAATAACGGCGATATTTGGCGAATTACGAAAAGTTTAACAAATAGCACCACCTGCATACCCCCCTTGAAATTTAACGGTAGATCCGCCGTCACACAGGACGAAAAGGTGAACCTCTTTGCCGACACGCTACAGGACATTTTTACGACTAACACGGACTTAGACCGTGATTTCACTCAACGGACCGAGCACACTGTCAGGGATATTCTAATCCAACCCCCCACCCCGTCGATAAGAAAAACAAACTACAAAGAATTAGGCTGGATAATTCGCCATCTCAAATCGCGCAAAGCAGCTGGTCCCGATGGCATACAGAATACCGTTCTGAGGAACTTGCCCCCACCAGCCCTCAAATTCATAGCCACGCTTTTCAACGCCTCAATAGCAAACAACTACTTCCCGTCTCAGTGGAAGGTTGCTAAAATAATCATGCTTCCCAAGCCGGACAAGGATCAGTCCTCGCCACTTAATTACAGGCCCATCAGCCTCCTAAATTCGCTAGCCAAAGTATTAGAAAAAATAATCTTGAAACGCTTAAATGCACAGCTAAAAGAATTAAACTTAATACGGGAGGAGCAATATGGATTTAAAAAAGGTCACTCAACCACTCACGCGCTGACACGCCTCATTGAACGCATTACCCTGGGATTCAATAACAACAAAACAACACTAGCCCTCTTTTTGGACATAGAAAGAGCTTTCGACAAGGTGTGGACAACCGGACTCATTTCTAAACTCATCAGGGCCGGAATTCCCGCACATTTTGTCCACATTATATACAACTACCTAAATAACAGAGTCTTCACGGTTGTCCATGGAAATTCGGAATCCACACGGCGACCCATTCAGGCAGGAGTCCCCCAAGGCAGCCTGTTAGGGCCAGTTTTATTTAATATTTATATAAATGATTTACCAATCATAGAAAATGATAATAATGTGGCCGTCTCGATTTACGCTGATGATACGAGCGTCACTGCTCGATCAGGCAGCGTACAGTTGGCGGCATTTAAACTGAATAAAGCCATTACAACTTTCGAGCCTTGGTTTGAAAAATGGAGGATTAAGATTAACGTTCATAAATGCGCGGTGACATTATTCTCTAAACGGCTGTCGCACCTCCGCAGCGAAGTACCTCCCCTGAAGATCTTTGGAGCAACCATCCCCCGGGTAAATGAAGCCAAATACCTTGGC